AGTTTATTCTTTTTAAGCGCGAGCCTTCGAAGTTGTGATAGTAAGTTTTAGGTGGCCTGCTGACTATACTATCCGTGTCATCGACACCGGAATCGAAATTGAACAAACAAAAATATGCATAGTTTGTTCTACTTTTAAGGCGTCCAATTTAACCTCAATCTTGAGCTATTTATACCAAGACTCAGTCCTAAATCTTTCCTTAATACGAAGTTTATTTTTCATGGGTAATCTTGTTTGGAATTTAGAATTGTAACAGGGTTACCAGAAAGCCACTATTCGTAATATTGGATTAAATCATACGGCAGCAATTCGTGTTTTTGAGTGGGAAAAATTTTGATTCTGTTTATTTAAGACAAAATTGCCTATTCAGCCTAACTATTTTCCAGATGTTGCGCCATGTCCATGTTTGCATTTAAAGTTTAATTTCATTTTGATGTTCTAAACTGAGTACGATTATCTTTCATTGAACTCGAATGGCTGCGCAGAATTTCAAAATCCCTGAACTTTCGGCAAATCTTGGAGTATTTATAACTTTCAAACTCAAACTGTCTCTAGAATATGCACTGTGCTCACGTTTTTCAAAGTTAGCAGGCATATTTATTTATTCTCCTTTACAGAATATAATTAAATATTTATTCGAACGCGTGCAATAAGGAAACTGGCTGATAGTAACAGCCGCTCAGAGGGACTGCCGCAAAGGTGCTGTGTATTTCAAAGAAGTCCTGAAGAGCGGACTTGATTAAGTTTATTCAGCTTCATGCATCGCTGGCTCGGGGTAAGATACTAGGTCATTAATTAAACTTTGGACCAAAAGAATTTTATTCAACTGGAGATTGTTATGTAGTGTTCAACTCATCGACCGCACCAGCTAAAAACAAATTTGATAAATATTCCGCTTAATTTATTTCCTCTAACAGTCTTCATGGGTTTTACAAAGTATTTTTAGCACCAGCGCTGTTTCGTAAACAAAATATGAGTTTAAACTGGATCACTTAGCCAAAGAATGGTGTATTGCAAATAAAGGGTCGTGTTTGTCAAGTTCCAGCGGGTTATAAGAAAAATAATACTTTACTGCACTGTGGGTTGCCTCAAATACTTCACCCAATGCTGTAACGACAGTTACGATACATCATAAAAAGCTTTTTCATTTTCTTATCAAGATAGGGCGGAGAGTTATCTTATCAGTCTGCGGCGGATCCTTTTGGCAGTTATTGGGCAGTAATTACTGCACAACAGCCAATCTTTGCAAAGCATCTCTAATGGAAACAACTCTTTCACGCACGCATATTGGAATCTTTGATTCCATATCTGATTTCTGCCCATTCTTCAATCGAAAGTATTGTGGAGGGAATGAAGTGAAACGAACTTGACCGTAAAAGACGTTGAATGCTTGGTAACACAGCACTTGCGGCGATAGCTCAATGTGAAATACCAAGACTACACTTGCAATTAAATTTCTTTGTTTCCTCAAAAGATAATCTTTCGTCTTAAAATACTGATTACCCTTTCAATTAAGAATAATTCGCCTTTGATCTTGAAAGACAGCATTTGAAGAATTCATTTATCGAAAGACAAAGAGTAATTAAAACACTACCCGTCGTAAGGAGCTTCATTCATATGCAAATGCAAAAACCCCTTTTGAGTGAGTTACATAAACAAAGATATATTTCTGTTTGACTTTGGCACATCTTTCGCGTTCTTAAATGTCAGAAATCATTTTCACAGTGTTTATCACATATAAACATGTCACTCTTCCCAGGGAAATAACCATGTCTTGTCTTAACTAAGTGGTAAATAATTTGTAGATTGCGTGCTTTCGACATTTATCGTTAACTTTCAGGTAAAAAAATGTTGAGATAGATTATTGGCCGATAACCATGCTCCTACACGATTAGGAAGTCTTGAAAATTGTAGAAACGCGGTAAATTAACCATAACAGGAAGTTGCGCAACTCTGGCAACCAACTGCCTCCGATTGCAAGGAATTCTCCAGTAACTCGGCTGCAATAAAATAGTTTGCATACAAACATTTTGAAAAAACCTCCCACGAGTAATCGTCATATAATATAAGTCGAAGTAAAAAGAATAGCCGCTTAAGTATTTCCATTAAGGAGCACTTCGTAGTTGCAAAGGAACGGTGAGAAAAAGCAAATAAAAATTTTATGTGTTTCATGAAGGCAAGCCGATTCCCGAAAAAAATTAATTAAGTGCATTTAGTCTAATTCACAAAGATCTCTTTGCAGGTGCCTTTTTTCTTGTTGTAAAACATTTTTACGCTTTTTACTTTTGTTAAACATGTTGAACATGGCGCTGAAAAAGCGTAGAATTGAGATTCAAATATATTTGATGATATTGGCTGTCGGAAACCGCTAGTATGCAATTACTTTCTCGGTATCTCTTAATTTACCCCTTCTTGAATAATCAACCATACACTTAAATTTCCGTCCCTAGACTTTAATCACGTTACGGTTATTCGAGCTCCAGTTGTATACTATCGGATGCCTTTTCTAATACAATTGTTTTTTTAGAGGAGTTATTTACAGACAGCGTTTACGTTACAGTGTGAGGAATACTGATGAGACATTTTGGTCTCCTTTTCAATTGAGCAGCTTCAACAATTTGGAATGAGCCCAATGTATTTCTGATAACCTTTGGCCTTCATTGAGGGCGATGTAAGGAAACAGATGGCCAATTTAGCTTTCTCAAAAAAAAAAATAGTGATGAAACTAGCCGCCTGTTGTTAGAGTCAATTCCCCTTTTGTCTATCTACCAAACTTAGACCGGGAAATCGAACATTTCAAGGCCAAGGTTTGCAGAGCACTTGCAATCAGAGAGATTCTAAGAGAATTTCCATTAAAAATATCAACAATACCACTCAAGGTCGCATCAAAATGTTTTTCATGGCCTGATGACTCTTTCTTAGTCGGTTTTTTACGACTGTAACAAGATCAAAACGCAGAATGACTCAATCATGTTCAAGCCTCTTTGTGTAATCTGCATCGGTGTGTTTTAGACACCGAGAGATAGACAACAACTATGAAGTCGTCGACGAGCCTCGAATTACAGTCCATTTGTTTCTATGCGGAGCTTCGTTGTTTCCAACGCTAATTTTCTGCTTTTTGATCATTTCTGGGCATAAGAGGAATATATCCTCTCTGGATTTCTTTCTTTATAAATTTCTTTCTAACTGACCTGTCTGTGATATGTGATAAGGTGCAATGTCACTGAATCTATGCGTTTTAATTTTCGTGTGGTTACGTATAAAGCAGCGTATTTCTTCAGAGCATATTTCTTGTAAAGCAGCTTAGTTCGTCTGATCATATCCCGTGTTTTAAAATTTTTATAACAGCTTTTTCCTAAAATGACAGTGAATTTTTTTTAACAGCCCACAGCTTTTGTTTACCTCACTACTGGCGAGAGGACGCTATATATTTAGGGAAGAGAGATGGCAAATTTTCTTTTAGCTAAAGAGTAACTCTTAATTAAAATTTTATGTTATTTTGGTCTGCGGAGAAAACACTTTTTCGAACGTGATCAGTGGCTAGCCACGGGAACTGTTGATGAAGCACAATTTCCCTTTTCTACTTTGAAAACTATGAAACATTGTCTCGACAAAAACAATAAGGGGACTCATTGATCCAATAAAAAATTACATCACGATAATACGGCAAAGGCCAAGGACGAATTGAGTATCCTCCATGGAAAACTACTCGGAGGGAGTTTTTTCATTAGTTTATGAAACAGCTGGTGTTCCTCAGTTACTCGGGTTTGCAATCAGTTACATTACGTAACCAAATCAACTTTAGAAAAACTTAATAATGTCATTTATGTGCGGTGCACGAGATTATCACATTATTCCTAGCTCATTATGACTATATGAGAGAGTGAGCTTTAAATTTGGGCGCAAACCTTGGGCGAAATAATCGATTAATAAATTTAAATTTTCCGACTGTATTGACATAATTATCATTGATCAATAAGTTTGGTCGGTAGATTAAGAGAGGGTAGTGAATTGGGTTAATGGTACAGTATCAGTCTGTTGAGAACTAAAGTAGAAACTCTTTATCAACTACCCAACTTAACGTTTGGTTTAGTCTCCTCTAGGCCGCATTTCTGTGTCTGATTAGCTGTCGCTTTAGTAATAGTTCAGAGCCTATCAACCTTAAAAATTGTACTTGAAACCAAGTACAATCTTAAGACTTCTTTGTATATGTAGGCGTCATTTATATGCAGAGAGCTATTCGAATTTGTTCAACTCATGTGTCGCCTTCAGTTCCAAAGCGCCGATAGGAGCAATAGAAACGACAACTTTATGAATTCAAAATGAAGCAAAGTTTTTCCCCATTGCATTTAAAACTACTGAAATGTATCATGTTTAATTGAAAACGCAACTGACTTACGCATATAATTAAGATTTTGCAAATGGGTTATAATCTCAAAACTTTATTAGATTGAAGGTGCTATAAGGTGACAGTTGTTCAATATAAGGTTCTATAAGGTGACAATTGTTTTTCCCTGTTGCGTTTAAAACTAAAATGTATCATGTTTTACTGAAGCACTTGATTGAAAACGCAGCTGGCTTACGCATATAATTAAGATTTTGCAAATGGATAATAATCTCAAAACTTTATTAGATTAAAGGTGCTATAGGGTGATAGCTGTTCAGAAAATTAACCACGCCCATATTGTTTTGTTTTGTCGATGCCTTAGCGGCGAGCGAGGCCATATCGTTACTAGTGGGAGATTTTAGGTTTAGGTTATCTGTCACAAATAAAAGCATGGAAATTGAGGGGAGTGTCTGGTCCTGAATTGACAAAAAAAAATGATGATAAATCAATTAGAGGTTGGCCTGTGTATAGTCAGAGTTGATATCACAAGTATCTCCTTATTTGCTTGCCTCAATTTTCTCTGCATATCACTCATGTTATTTCACTACATTATAACTTTTTACCCACCCTTGAGTGGGAACAATTTTTGTTCACAAGTAATTCTTTCACCTAAGGTACCTGTGCTGTGAAGTCAAGATTTGCGTGCGAGGGTGAGAAGTTACGCTTACGCTGTGAAAGTGACTACGTCCTTCGTGTATTCAATGCCAAATATGGTCGTTTAGAGCCTGGGAGTTCAATATGTCCACACGAGAATATCACTGACTTAAACTGTCAGGCGGAAGGTGTGCTATTGAAAGTTATGGCAATGTGTACCAATAGAAGAAGGTGTATCATAAAAGCGGACAGTTCTTTTTTTCGAGATCCTTGTCCTGGCACATACAAGTATCTGGAGGTTATTTATGGATGTGGTAAGTCCATCATGAGTTGTTTTTGTTTTTGTTTTTGCTTTTTTTCCACTTCATGTATCATTTTTTCTGTTATTCGGGAAGCTACTCTTCGAAAGGTGTCAGGGAAGGCTGAGGTGTCGGGGGAACAGCAGTGAATTTTAATTCATGCTGTTACACAAGTTTTTTATCAACTTGAAATAAGAACGCCCTTCACCTTGAGTCTGAGCCCGATTTAGAGCGAAAAATGGAAAAGGGAAATTGGTATTTGTACCTCCACACTTTCCATTGGATTGTTAATAAATGCCTTCATTGCTCATATCGAATAGTGGCATAGATTGTAATCTTAGCGACAGCTATAATCAATCCTTCAACTACCAAAGGTGTGCTAAATGAATCGTTTCCGGTAGTCCCCAAAAGAGCACTTCTCGGTGACAAGGCCGAACCAAGTTGATGAAAACTTTTAGCTGTCAACACAAACCCTGTTTTAACCTATACTTCAACATCTTCAATATTCTTATACAGTTCCTGGCGATAATTGGACTCCGACACCAACGTCGAAAAAGTCAAAGACGAAACCTCGTTTTAACAGAACGACGCCAGTAACCATGAAGTCGCCAATAACAAAAAGACCTCGTCTAAAGAGTTCAACGGACAGCACAACTGGTAAAAATAGTTCGATAAACAACATCAGCGGAACGAATCAATCTAACACAACAAGAGAATTTTTACCAACGAGAAAATCTACCACCCTTAGCTTCCTATCCACTTGGACCACGAAGAAAAAAAAATCACTTCCAAAAGCTCCAGATTCAAAAGCCTCAGGCAGGGAAGGTGAGGAAGGCGTGATTTTTGTCCTGCTGAGATCTGTGTACGTCACATACAGGTTCATTTCAGGTACGACACATTAAACTCAGACACGAACGTTGTATTCACGCTAATGAGGGCGGTCGCATGCACGCAAATTCATCTGGCGAAGTCATATGATGAAGTTAATAAACGAATCCTCCAGCTCAACAAAATTGTGTTTGGGAGAAAAATATTTTCCCAGAAACACACATCTAAGGGATGTTCGTTCTGCTGAATACTAAATCGGCAACAACTCTGAGCTATGGACAAGAGAAAATAATGAGCCCTTATTTCCTCTTGGCTATGGTGTATAAAAGAACGCTTCTGTGTGTATACAGAAGACAATCCATGTTATGGTCTTCATGATACCAAAAATTTCGTTCGTTAGATACCGCCTGTGCATGCAGCAAAAAGTGGATTTGGTGTTAGAGCAAGTGGCATTACCGGGGTAGATGAATCAGTAGATTGATCGATCAAATCTTAACTAAAATAGACAAAAAAAAATTGAAAAAAAGAAAAAACCAGAGAGAAATCTAAATTACAGTATAACAACTGTAATCGTAATGCTAACCAAGTCTTGTACCTTTTCAAGTCTAATTAAACGAAGGAGAAATCTGAATTAAGATGACTTTACATAACCTTGTCTACTATGCCACACCCAGTGTCTGAGATAACTTTATGATCACGAAGAAACCATGAGAAAAATCTTACCCTCAAAAAAAAAAAAGCGTGAAGGGCATTTCAACAACAAATAATAAAATTGAAAAACACTTGCCTAGTAGCAAAATAAAAAAAAGCAATTGTCCGACCGATTCCTCTGTTTTTCATTATGACAGATATGACTCCACAACTTTGAACCATTTGGCTTTTTCCTAAAGGTTTCTTGTGTAACTGAACCTGTAAATGAACCTGTTATTACAATCATAGATTTAACTTTTAAAGCTGATGGGTAACTTAACCTCTTAAAGTTGAATAGGCGCCTCTTAATTTTATTATTTTAGCTAAATGAGATAACTTCAAGACTAAGACTTAACTTAGGATCATAACACGAAGGCATTATGAGCTTATTATGAAGGATATTCAAACATCATCTTTTTTTGAAAATATGAATTACTCAGTCGAGAGCATTAAGTGAGGCTCAAGCATCAGAGATTTGTTAACGATACCACGATCGATATCTGATAATCTTCCATAATATCATGCAAGATAACATTCAACAAATATAAGCAATGAATAAAGGGGTAAGTTTTTAAAGAAATTGCGGTGCTGTATCAATGGGGGGGGGGGGGGGGTGGGTATTAGAAGATAATTTGGTTCTATATCAACTGAGTTGATAATGTAAATTGGCCACCGTAAAGAGTTTCTTAAGCTGACGTATCAAGTGTTAGCCCTTCGTTAGAGCGAGTGTGATATATATTCAGCCCATTTTATGAGAGTTTAGAGTTTTTGCTGGTTATTAGGGAGTGACCATCTAATCTAAAGACAGAGCAACATGCATCCATGTTGGTCACTCGTAAACTTGATCCGTTTCGTTCCACACTCATGACGAAACGGGTTACAACTTCATGATTATTTTCTTTTCCATAAAGTATATGTACATAGTATTAGCTTATCACTTTGTTGGTAAAAGGAACACGATACCTAGCTTCTTTATTTATTAAATGTCAAATTTAACCGTTGCTTTCAGAACAATCACGCGATACCCTGGTCGTATTCTTGTCGGGAGTGGCTGGCGCCACTGTTTTCTTGCTTTTGTTTCTGTTAGCAATTCATCTTTGCAAGAAAAAATTTAGGAAGAGAAAATTTTCCATGGTTAAAAGAGAAGACGAAGATGAAGTGAACAAAATAAAGAGTGTGACTATAGAACTGCAAGGAAATGGTGACGAAACCAAAGAAATAAACGTCAACCCAGGAGATATCATTATCATTGATCACAATGACGATGATCGAGCAGGAAGCGAAGATCTTGGTTATCTATCGGAAATAGTTCGATTTTATAACAGTCAGAATATCGGCAGCGACGACCAGATATCGATTAGAAAGCAATTTTCCGCTTGTGACAGTCCCTCAGTTATTTCGACCGAGGCAAGTGAAAGTAGAGACAGCAAATATGGTTCAGTTGGAATGAAGCACTGCACTTGCCAACATGAGTCCTTATTGCGCCCCTCTTCTCCACTTGGTATTATATAATACGCGAAAAGGCTCAAGCAGGCAACTGTAGACGAGTTATCCGTGGCTTCACTGTTGTGATCAAAAATTTATGTCATAAAGGATGCGAAAAACAAGACTAGTTGAAAATGCAAGATGAGAGAGCTATGCTTTCTAAGCGGCCGCGCCAGATCTACTCAAGATTTGATATCTGATATAAGCATGCCTGGTCAGTGAGTAACTGCTTTGGTATTGCATTGATGAGGTGCTGAGAATTGACATTCTCCCCACTAAACATTTTAGGTTGGTAAAAATGGCTTGACCACCGTAATGAAAAAGATAAGAGATTCTCAATGACCTTGCACCATCCACCGTCTTGTCCTTCCCGTTGCGATTTTTTTGTTTCTTCTGTTTTTACACTTAAGGTAATGGATACCTTTGGTTTAAAAAGAGGGACTTTTATGATAACTAAGAATTTCTATTGAGTTCGTTTATTTTAGTAAATTTTGTTTTGTGGGCAGGCCTGAACTAGACTTAATCAATCAACATTTAACACAAATCTAACTTATCGGAAAATTTTAACCAACTGAATATTGAAGAGGTGAAACACCTTAAAGTTAACTATTTTGAATAATACATTACTACTGCACCTTCTTGAACATTCGAAAAAGTAATTAGAATGGCTGTGTCATTCATTTAGCGAAGCATGACGTTGAAACTTAGCTAATGTATTACTTGAACTTTGGAGTTTAGCGTCATCACAGGGCAACTAAAACAAAGGAGAAAATTTAAAATGGGGCGAGCAATCAAAAAAAGCCAACTTGAAACCACTTCTGGTAAGAGAGTGTAAAGGACGTGCTCGAATAATTTCAGGACAAGGCCAATGTATTTTTACCTTTCTGACTTGTTGTGAGCTATGTTTGAGAATAATCAGTCCTAGTTTCGGTTGAGTTTTGCAATACTTTATTCTGATTGACTTTACACATATCTTCAAGTAACAACAGTAAGTGAAAATACTGTAAATATCCATGTTATTTTTGTAACGAGTGACACTTATTTTTCTGTAAATAAATTGAAACAACATCTAAACTAGCTTCTCCTTCTAATTTAGGATGAGGAAAAGCAATCCTCAAACGAAATTACTCACGATAGCGTAGAATCTTTCTAGAACTTGTGTTTCTGGCTAAAAAGAAAGCTCATAGCACGATAGGTGGAAATATGAATTTATCTAACAAGCGTCATTTTCTCCGAAAACACTTTTAAAGGAGGTCAGTTTGATACATGTAAAAGCCCACTGAAAATCCCAAATTATTTAGTGGGAGACTCTACTCGCTGAATATTTGTATGCGGTCATTAAAACAATCAGTCAGTACAATCTTGTTATCACGGAGAACGGCTGAAGAGGTTGGTCTCTTTAATTTTCCCACCTTATGTCCCTTTCCCCCAAATTTTGAGACAAGTGTGCCATTTAATTTGACTATCTGAACTCTGTGATTTAATGAATCACAAATCATCAGTTCTCCGGGTTTGTAAACTGAGACATAAGATGGTTCATTGAACTCCCCATCCCCCTGTCCTTTTTTTCCGATTTTGTACTGAAATTGCCCTTTTCTATCAAATACTACGATGCAATGCTCAGAAATGTCCGATATTAAAAATAGATCGTCATGCTGAATACAATTGAGTGGTTTTGTTAGACAAAATGTTTCACCTATTTTCTTTAAACAAGAACCAGTATTAGAAAAGAATTTGACCAATTTATTGCCTGAATCAGCAACAATGATATTACCTACGCTGTCCACAAACAAGCCGTATGGATACTTGAGCTGGTGATCAAGACTTCCTTCTCCTCCAAATTGGCTGAGGTACTTCCCACGGTCACAAAGCAATTGAATGCGATGGTTAAAAGTGTCTGCTACTAAAATGTTCCCACTATTATCAAATGCTATGCCAGTAGGATAGTAAAATTCTCCTTTCTGATTGCCCTTTCTTCCAAAAGAGCGCAAATATGTCCCATTGCAGCTGAATACCTGAACTCTGTTCGCATTGCTTTCAGTCACTGCTATTTCATTACGGGCGCTCACTGCAATGCCCCAAGGCTTGCTAAGGCTTCCAGCATGCATCCTTTGTTCTCCAAATGTTGACAAAGGGACGAAGCTTCTTGGTTTGACAACAACAGCAAAAGGACTCCCACAAACGTGCTCTTCATTTATAGTTACTGAGATTTCGTGCTTTCCTGTTTCCGTAAAGAAATGAGTGACGAAGTAGGTACCGTCTCTATTATCTTGGACTTGCGCCGTCGTGACACTATCATGGCCATCCCAATTTGTAACTCTTACGCTTATCTCGTCATGCTCTGTGTAACACTTTTCGCCTTCAGCATTTTTCGTAGTCAAAACAGAGCGAGCCTCCAATCCAACAATCGCCTCCCTCATTCCTTTAACATCGGCAGTTGATTTACTATATGAAGTGAGAGTCAGGAACGCTTTCATTGAACCAATTCCATGAGCCTGTAATGCCTTCATTGATGCGTCATTTTGTTTTAGAATTAGGTGACAATTTTTTCTTAGGTCATTGCAGTTTCCAATTTCAGGTGCACTGACATGTAGAGATTTTTCTAATTTGGATTTGTACCGTAAAAGCTCGGCCCTGGTACTTCCTTTCACAAATTCTTCAATTTCTTCAATTTCTTTCTCCACTGATTGTACTTGTTTTTCCAAACAGATTTGCTGATTTTTAAAGAAATCGAGTATTTCTTCGGCTTGCTTATCCACGTCCTCAAACATTTCTCGCATCTTCGCTTCAATGACCGCGATAATATTATCTGCTAACGAGCGTGCGTCGCGCTTCACGTTTGACACTTTATTTTGTAATTCAGTGCATTTGACTTGTAGTTCATTTATTTGACCATGCTTTTTTTCAATTAATTTCCGTTTAGAATTAATCAAAGAGATAATTTCTGCTCTTTTTTCAGTTAGAACGTCTTCCAAGAGCATCTTTGTGTGACGGTTGTGGACTGTCACGACGCAAATGTTGCAAATGGGCCTTTCACAATCCCCGCAAAAGAATCTCAATTCCTCTTTTTCGTGGTCCTTCTTGGAGCAAAATTCAAGTTTCACGGGTCGTTTTGAGATCTCTTCGAAGTCATGATCTCGAAAATCGTTTACAAGTAGAACACGGTGTCCTTTGTTATTTCGGATCGTACTATGAGCAATGACACACTCCTCACACCAGAAGATACAACAGTGAAAGCAATAGAAACACTGAGAGCTCTTCTTGTCACAATTTCCACATTTCACTACCGATGTGTTGCGCTCTTTAATAGCCAAAACGTTGAGCATGTTGCTGACACGAATGTTTGATGGAAAGTCGCTCAGATTTCCTCTGCTTGGGACAGAAAATTCCAGACTGCATTCTGGACATGTAATGCTGTCGCAATCGTTACTTTGCCGTTGAATATCATTCAAGCATTGAAGACAGAAACAGTGTAAACATGGCAGTTGCTTCGGATCAGTATATGTGTTCGTACACACAGAACAGCGCAAGTCTTCGTGCAGTTTTTTTACATCCATGATTTTCGTCGAATGTATGAATCTTACGTTTTGAGTCAGTGATCGAATATGCAAATGTTTCGTGTTTATGTCTAGCCAAAAGATTCGACCAATCACGAAGTGTTGTAAAGGATGACGCTCAGCTTCTCAGAAAACACACAAAAATAGCTAAGAATTCTGAGAAACTGACTGTACCAAAAGCTGCCACTCTCTGTTTCATACCGAATTTTTGGACATTCTTGTCATTTTTGTGTGGCTTACACAACGTATGTAGCAACATTATGGCACGATCGCATTTGGAGAGATGAAATTAGGAGATCCTCGCAGCTAAGAACACTACTGAAACGAGTAGTTGTAAATAGGACCTGAAAAAAATTCAGGCCCGTACGGGATTTGAACCCATGACCTCTGCGATACCGGTGCAGCGCTCTACCAATTGAGTTAACAAGCCAACTGGGAGCTGGTCAATGAATTGGGTACAAATAAACATCCAAGTGAATGAAGAATTTAGATATATGAAAATTTCACATATTTGCACTGCGGTGGAGAGATGAAATTAGGAGATCCTCGCAGCTAAGGTCCATTTCAGGTCCTATTTACAACTACTCGTTTCAGTAGTGTTCTTAGCTGCGAGGATCTCCTAATTTCATCTCTCCACCGCAGTGCAAATATGTGAAATTTTCATATATCTAAAATCTTCATTCACTTGGATGTTTATTTGTACCCAATTCATTGACCAGCTCCCAGTTGGCTTGTTAGCTCAATTGGTAGAGCGCTGCACCGGTATCGCAGAGGTCATGGGTTCAAATCCCGTACGGGCCTGAATTTTTTTCAGGTCCTATTTACAACTACTCGTTTCAGTAGTGTTCTTAGCTGCGAGGATCTCCTAATTTCACGATCGCATTTATTTGTTTATTTGTACACGAGAGTCGAGCGCCTATCACGTGGCATAGTATCGTAGTATTGTACGGCGCACTAACGCGCACGGGAGTTACTACATCACGGGCGACGAGCGGGGGAGGAAGAAATGACCGAAATACGAGTGGTCAGCGTGGAAACAAATATAATACTTCATATAGAGACATATCAGTTGTAGTTGCAGAAAAAAATAGTGATGAAAAGCCGAAATGTTAACAGTTTACTTCGCTCAATAAGATGTGAAGCAATTTTTCAAAAGTGTTGATGGCACATATATCTTTCACTGCTGTATTAAACAATGGAGGTGTCGGAAAAGGCATCGGTGGCATTCGGAAAAGCACTAAGAAGAATGTAATAATCTGAGTCAGCCATCTTGATTGTAAGCGTGGTCGCGAGTAATTTTTTTCAGGTGATCGTATCACGAGTTAGTTCCCCTCACACAAGCCAACACATTCAGACCCGGCTTGTGTTATAAGTGCAGCTTGTGCTAGAGCTTCTACGTTCTTAAAAGACTTATTATAACAGCTCGAATCTTCGGTACGGGTTGTACCACACTGAAAGGAGTTATTGCACTCTCACAAGCCAACAACTATCGGCTTGATCTATCGGTGCGGGTTGCACCACTGAGTGTCTGAAAGTGTTTGAAAGTGTTTTAAAGTGTCTGAAGCCACCTGAAAGTGCCAGAAAGTGAAATAAGTTGTATTGCAGTTGCTTTCTCCTTGCACTGTTGAGAATTCACGGAGGCATATCTCAAAACAAAGTAAGTATGGGAATCTCGATTGAACAATACCGGTTAAGTATTGGCTCTCGTGACAATTTCGTGAAAACCAAGGATATCTTATCACGTGTTAATGATCATTGTTGGAGTTTAATGGTTGTGATGTTCTATTTAAATGTATTTTACTTGCCAGTATTGAAACAAGTTGTTGGACAACACAAAATGTGGAATGAAGTGATGTTTTGGTTTTCAAAAATGATTTTCTACAATGCCTATATTCCATTGCTTTTAAGGCAGGCAATTGATGTAGAGGAAAATCCAGGCCCTTCAATATTTGATGTCATCGATCCAACAAGAACAATATGTGCTGACTACAGTCAAGGAAATGAAGCTCTCTTTGGTGAAAATGCTGGTAAGCAATGTCTAGCCATGTCACTTACTGCTATTATTTATCATCACATAGAAGATATCAATTTGTGGACTTAGTCCATTTTGGATAATATTCTTACCATTAGAAATAATTTGTATGCTTCTATTAGATGTTCTGTCCAGAAAAATGATTATTTGCTTTTAACTGATGTTTCATTCATTGTTTCAATTTACAATAATGTATACACACTGGAATATAGTGAGTCTTTAACAGGAAGTTTGTTCATGACATCAAATAATGGGCCATACATGTCTCTTCAAAATTCTCTGACAGAAGTGTTTTCAAATCGTCAACTTAACTACAATTGTTGTTTGTTAACAATTGGAATAAATAGTACTATTGCAGTGATTAAGAATTCAGAACAAAGCTTTAAAATTTTTGATGCTCATTCCAGGGATTTGCATGGGATGCCCCACTCATTTAGGAAATTTACTTTGCTTATCATTGAAGGAATTGAAAACCTTGTATCATATATGAACATTTCCTGCTTACAAATAGGGTTTGTTCCTTTTGAAATTAAAGGTGTCTTTGTCAGAGATAATGAACTTCATTTACAAAATGTTCATGAGAGTCCAAAAATTGAACATTTGCCTTTCAGAAATAAAAGAACCAATCACAACATATGAAAAGGAAGCAAAAGTCTTTAACTGAAACACCAGAAGAAAAAGAAAAACAATCGATTGCTAGACATGAATATGAGAAACGAAGAAGGGTAAATGGAAGTGAGGTATCTAGACAAGAGGCTGGCCCAGCAGCTTCTGAACAGGGAAAAGAAACGTGCAAATAAATCTTCTGAATCAGGAAAAAAGAGGAGCATGGAGTTGTGCTCTCACAGGCCAACATTCATGGTCTGGACCTTTGGTGCAGGTCGCGCCACCTTGAAACTTAGGAGTCATTATTGACTCTCTGTGTGGTCACATTTCATGTAAGTCATTTACTGTAACATTTTTAATCCTGAATTTCTGTCTATACCATATGTTCAGTAAGAAAATTACTTAACCAGTCTTTTTAGCACATGCAAAGATAAAATTTTGGCAAACTGCAGAATACCCTGCCACCTATGGCATTACATGTCATTGAATACAAATAGAATAAACCATTTTTAGCCAGTAGTGAAAATAGGACTTTTTTGTTGCCATTAGAAAATCAAACACTGCTGATGTCTGGAAATTCAATTTGACGGCCTCTTTAAATGAAATTATACTTTCATGTTTACATAGCTAAACCAATAAAAGTCACAAACATCTAACGCCTAAGCTGAAACTGGGGTTTGTTGTTAACATAGTGCTAAATGTCTATTGTGATTGTTTCCAAACTTTAGGGAGTAATCCATTGAAACTCAGTAACAAAGTGGTTTTGCTTTTATTAAAATATGAATAGGAGCGTAGTGCTTTAATGTTAATTGAAATGTGATTAGTGTTATGTTTTCCAAGTTATGGTCAGAATTATTCAGACCTTAACATTTCATGACTTCCTTCAAGCTTGGCAGTCTTCTAGATTCTCTTCATAATGGTTCAGATAAGCATTGGTATCTATACTTGGTGGCAATACATGTGTATTAGGCCTTTATTTGGTAGACTACAACTCCTTTTCAGTTACTTGTTTGGCTTGGTGAATTCATCACAATACTGATATACATGAAAAATTACACTTTTTTGATTGGCTGAAAATAGCTAGGTGCCTTTTTCATTTATCATTAGTGAAAAAGTAATAACCCATGTACAAAATAATATAAACTAGGCTCAGCAACAATAGATCACATTAGAAACCAATCAGATTTACACAAAGTAGGTTGTTCTGATTGATACATGCAGTAGCTGACAAAAATAAACAAAAGCTTGGATACTTTTATGTATATTGATAAACACTAACAAATTGCATTCCTGAGTAAGAATTCAGCTGAAGGACAAATTTTGATGGCACACACTTCATTTAGTCAATACTGTCAAATTTATTAGCCATCAGTTTGTTGATTTCTTGTGAATGTGTATCTTTCATGTATACGTTATGAATAATTAATAACATGATTTCTCATATGGTAGGCAGCTGTAAATTTTTCAAATACTTTAAACTGCACACACGCTATGAGCTCAACATTTGTTATTTGTGAAAAATTTACTTCTGCTTATTTAGAATACCTAAGTACACTTTAATTAACTTAGCTTAGACTTTGTTAAGTTTTTATGAAGACAGTTCAATGGAACTGACATTTGTTACGTATATAGTTAAAAGTTAGAGCTACTTGATGTGGATTAGATAACCATCAGGTATCCTCGGAGACCCAGGGTTCTAATCACATCTGTAGACCCCTTAAAAGCACAGTCTTAACAGATCAGTTCCAAACTGTCACAGTCATTCTGAATTTTGATTGGTACCAGAAGTTCAATCTTTTTCTGGCAAATGAGAGTGAAGCAGGTCTGGCAAGTCCTCTTGTGTGCTCTAACACAAAGTGATAAATGAAGTTCAGTTGCTAACCATGTTTGTTTTGGACCTTTTTGTATGGCAGATTAGCACTTTGCATGATGATGTTAAGTCAACCATTTGCATGATAATGTTAAGTCAACCATTTGCATGATGATGTTAAGTCAACCATTTGCATGATGATGTTAAGTCAACCATTTGCATGATGATGTCAAGTTCACCCATTCATTTCTCCACATAACTTGAATTTGGTAGACTCACTGGCATGAAATTACAATTTCAATAATAAGAAGACGTGAAAGCTTCTGGTAGTTTAAATCATATGATACCATCATGCACTTGCCTGTACATTGAACCTGCTGTGTCTAAGTTATGCCTCTGATTACTGTTCCTGAAATCTATTATGGTAACACTCTATCTCTATTGAACTTTCTGTTAAACAAAACCTCCAGGTCAAATTGTAAATCTTATTGGGTTAAAAATTATTAGCAACGTTAACATATTAAAATATTGCTTGTGTTCTGATCTTTTAATGCACCTATCTTTTTTCCCTAGACTCTTCCATTTGCAACCTCATATCTACCTACCTGAACTAAATTTTTCTGTGTTTTTTATTGAAAATGCAGTCCCAAAAAACCTAAATACAATAATTATATTGCTCTCAACCGACTGAAAGTTGAACTTTATGCCTTAATGGACAAAAGAAACCTACACCCAGCATTGTGTTACTTTACATGTATGTATTGTCCAAAATTAGTCATACAATCAAGCTCCCAATGGCTTCTAGTGTAGATTACATCATTTCCCGAATGCCCCTGCCCTTCTCCAAAGTTTTGTCCTTGTGTAACGGTACACAAAATGTCAAAAATATTCATATGAAATTCTTCCCTAGAGTTCATTTCTCATCATTTGCCTCGGAAAAGACAATCAACCTACACATTTCAGAAGTCAATTCCACTTCGTTACGTAAACATAATCATGACTGAATCTATCAGACCACTATGGGAGATTATGCTGATGTTTTTTCAGTGCCTTAAATCCTCGGGTTACATGTGCAACTTTTGTTGTCAAAATGAGACCTCCATAACAAAGTTTGGCCAATAACTCTCATCTTCAGAATGAACATTTCAGGACTTTTGTATGCTAGTTATCTTGTGTTATGATGAACAAGATCAATATTGAAAACTATCTAATGGTAATCAGATATTAGCTCTTCTAATAGAAACCCAATGAGACACCAGACACTAAAAAGCAGCTCAATTTCGTAAGCCACACATGTACGCATTGCGGACCTATTTTTTTTACAGTGCGCAAAAACCAAAGTATTCTTGAGTATACGTGATCGTGATGCCTCATCTGAGTCCTAGAGTATTCGAGTCGCGCACAATACCCCGTGCAAACCTGGAATATTCGTCGTGACTGTGCTCGAATACCTCGCGTCAGTAATCTCTCTGGCATATTCTCAAAAGTACACCACGCTTGTCTCGTACTCCTAAAATATTCTGGAGTATTATAGCACACCGTATCTTTGAAGCTATAGTACCAAAAAATGTGTCTGGTTGTTTTATATTCTACGCTGAAAGAAATATTCCTCTTAAATTCGCGAAGCACTTCACTCTTTCCACCCTGAAGTGTGCTTCTTGAAAACTCAATCGCGACCCTGAATACTAGCGCATTTGAGGGTATTCTGGATACGTACAACGAGTAAAGTTAACCTCAGGCGCCCATTTGAATACGATGCTCACCAAAATTCATTAGTCTCCTTTGGACCTCATATTGCTGTATTGGTTTTACTGTCAGTTTCCACTCAATACTGACTTCAGCATTGTTGCATGATCATCACTACGTGATATCAAAAGTTTTCGCAGTCATAGTGTGGCGAAGATATTACTCTCCTTTCTCGAGTTTATAACTTAATATATCATTATTGAAGAAGTATGCAAGGAGCAAAACAAGTATAATACAGCAGTTAAATTATATATCGATTTGTCTTTGCACCAAGGGATCAACCTCTGCATGCTTTCCATTTACCGCATTTTCATCGCGTTTCCTGTACTTAATAGTTACGTCGTTTTTCTTAACGTTTTGTCTCTTAAGGCTTCCTTCTTTTCAGTATGTCAACGCGAAAATACAAAATTGAATTGAAAACTTTAAAACTTCCGTGAAAGCTACGAGTTCTCAACGACACTCTGATTGCTTTTCACAATATGTCAGTTTTGAGCTGCCGGTAGCTGTGAGGTCTTTTACAACAATCAAGACAGTGTTAAGCAGAAGTCAGAGTGCTTTGAACAAGTTGACGCGATTTCGATGGTGAGATCCACTGGGGGTGGTTGTGTGTCATTATTTGTACTTGGGATATCAAAATGGGGTCTTGTAGGCTAATTTGGTCACTCAGATACACCTGTGTTATCAGGGTCCATTTTCCTAAATTACAGGGCTTGTTTTCATTCAGTTCCTCCTGGCCAAAGGTTCATGTTGATTGATATCAAAATTGGGTTGATACCCACTCAATTCAAATTCAAACAAAGAATAGATAGATGGGGGAAAAAAAGGATTCTCTGTTTGAGGTCCTTGGTAAAAAAATGCGAGAGGTAATTTTGAAATTCGGCTGCTTCGACAAGGGAAAAGGGGGTGTCACTGGCAAAAACTTTAGGAGACGTAAATTAAAAACAGGCTTCTTTTAAATGGTGTTAATTATAAATAGCAAACAAATAACAATTTCACCTTCTTTCACTATCCACGGATAATGATTTTATGTTAAAGAGATCACAAGTATTATAATCTTTCTGAAAGCAATTCATGATCGATGGAAGTTTCCTTCATTCAAATAGGAAACAAAGGGTGTCTAAATAAAAGAAAACTAACACCATTTTGCAGGACTCTCATTTTCAGAGACCCTATTAGACACGCATCTATCACTTTCTACAAATATTTTTGGTTAATACTCACGTTCCAAGTAAAATGAAAACTGTGACCTAACTTAAATGATCTAGGGAAATTTATTATCATTGGCGACTCGACCAAAACTTCCTTCGTTTTTAGTGCCGCGGCGCTACTATCGCGCCGCCGACTACTATCACGCTCCGTTTTACTATCTGAATGCCTGGAACAGGTTTTTTTTTTTTTTTCATTTTTAGAAAGTCAAGGCAGGGTGAGTCTCAATGCGTTGTTTTGTATTTTTCCCAAAAATGTAAATTTTGTAAGGCAAGGTATCTACAATAGGGCTCATTCGGTCTTCAATACTTTTTTTCTTTTCGTTTGTTTTCTTTTTGGTTTGTTCATTAAGTGTTTTCATCCTGCGGAGGTATATTTTAGGATGGATCGTTGAGGCGCAGTTTTGGAAAATTGGCTGAAACACGTACAATTTTTGACACTCATAAGAATTATGTCAATGATAATACTAGTGGTCAAGACTGGAGGATAATCCTCTTTTTTTAATGATTTATTTCTCTATATGTGGAATTATCTATCACCTTCAATTTACCTAAGTGTTTAATTTAGACGTTGCTTTTGCCGAAAAGAGTCGAAAACATCGATTAACTGATAAACTCCTCTAACGAAGGGCCATTTCGCGCAGCTGCATTTTATGTGACCTTATCGGCTTGAAAATTATTTCGATCATTATCGTACGCGTCTGGCTCCCTTTACATATCCATCACTGTCTGGCCCGTTGGTGAGTTGCCATCTCAGTTAACGTATTTCGTCAAGGTTAGATGTAATAGCATTTTAAAACATTGATTTTCTGAAGATTGGTTTAACGTGTACTGACGAGTCTCGCTAAATTGGCATTTTCGTTTTCGACTTTTTTTTTCATTCAAAAGCAGTAATTCTTCCTTTAATTTTAGCAAAGTGGACTCTTCCAGGAATTTTGTGTAATACAGTTCGCGCAGCATTAATCAAAATTTCTTTCGTTGGTTTTAATCTCTTTTTTCAAAATATTATATTTAGCAGTTGCCTAAAGTCCGTTAAGAGTGCAGAACCCCCTAAGGATTTAAGCCTTTCGACTTTATGACTCTTTTTCACTGAATTTTCCAATTCGCCTCTTTCAGTCCCAGTCCGCTCTCGATCCCTCCTTCCGACATTTTTCCCCTTGTAAGTCTTGTATGTTTTTTATTTCACTTTTAGTGAGGATGCGTTGCTCCTTTTTAGAGATTATTGTTACTTTCATTATCAACATCATTGTGATTCGTAAGGATAGTTGAGTGCAAGCAAGCGCCCTCCGAAAATTTCGATTTGTGTGCTATATCAATAAGTCATAATTTTAGAGTTGATATGGACGATTTGAAGTCGTCACAAAAAATTGTGCATGAAAGGGTTGAGAACAGCTAAATGATTATTAAAAAAAGGTGTTTTCCGTTTTAAATAGTCAGATCTTTTCCATGCTCTTTTTTCCTTTTTTCTACCCACGTATCCTTTGCAATTTCTTACTGGTCTTGTCTGCAAGAGGAATTGTTTACACTTTTCATGCAGTCTATTTCGCGCTTTTCCAAAACAGATTTCAGTGAGCTTCAAGGGTGGCATTCGCTCTGATAGCGTTTCGGGAACTTATTATCTGGATCAACATTTTCCCTACCAGCACATTCCACGGAAAAGATCTTCACCATTTCACTTTTCCAAGGTCTCATTTTGATTCTCTCCTTTTCCAACAGACAAACAGATAAATCTCACTTTTGTTTTGTCCCTCCTGTTGTAGGGTAGAATGATAGGTTTTTTCCACCGGCAGCAATTGAAAATTTTCATATGTTGTCAACACTACAGCATTTGAGGGAGTTTCCCCAAAGTAGTTTCATTTTAGAATTAAATTAAGGGAGAGATACGCTTCTATATAAATTTATTAGTGATACTTTGAGATGGAAATTTTGGTGACTTTTGTTTGTCGAAAAAGAGAGTAAATGGAGAGAAAAAAATAGAAGGAGGTAGAGGGTGTACAAACACATCAATTAATATCAGCTGGCCCTTTTTGGAGCTTAGTAAGGCAGGGCAGAGGTCTGAGGTGTTTTTGGGTTTTTTTGCTCTGTTTGTTTTGTTTTGTTTTTTTAACTTTGCACTCTTTACTTAATGTTTTCATTACAACTTGCATTGCAAGCATCATTTCATCAATTTTTCAAAATATCCTGATATACGAAATTTTCCAATTTTTCATTGTGCCAAAAGTTGCATGCAAACCAATTGAGCTTCCTTTTGAATCAGAGTCTTCGAAAACTAAAATAAAGCATTACACAAAAATTTCCATTTCAAATGTTTACTACGACCTTCACCAGATCCATATTATTATTTACGCTGACTTTGAATTGATTATTTGCATGACTGGTTAATAAATCGTGCCACGCATCACATGGAATATTTAAAGTAGATCTAAGAATGGCTTAATTCAATGCTGCATTAGATCTCGTTTCTGATCACACAAAACTGTATATTATCCCAATGATTAGATTTCTCATGCATTATAATATTGCAGGGAGTTTGAGGATCAATGGCTGAAAATCTTTCTGCACTTTTCACCAATAGTACTAACCGGTCCATTTCTGGCACCTCTGCACCTAACCCTTCGATCTACATTTTCACGCCAGCAGGCTCCACGATAAAACAGGCACTGGTATTCTCAATGGTGACTGTGGCTCTAATCGGATTTGTTGGAGGAAGCTTAATCTTACATTTTCTTTCTCAGAACAAACAACCCATTGTAATACAATCAAGCCGCTTTATAAAAAATCTAAATCTGTACATAAAGAGCTTGGCTCTCTCTGACATTTTATCCACTTTGGTATCTCTTCCTTTGACATGTATCCAAATATCTTTTGACCTCTTTCAAACACATTGGGCCTGTAAAATAGTTCGTTACTTTAACATTGTTTTTCCGGTCATTACTATTTACAACTTAGTCGTAATAGGAATTGAAAAGCACCTTTCGTTGAGGAGAGTGCCATGGACCTTGAGCGCTACAGCGGTTCGCAAGTTGATCTTCCTTGCTTGGTTTGCTGGATTTGCAGTAGTTCTGCTTCCTGCTACGACATTTACTGGAATAAGGCACGATTTGAATGAAACACATTTTACAGTGATTTGTAAGTACGATACAGAGTACTTGCCTGCTCGAATTGCCTTTGTATCATTTACTGCACTTGTGTATTATCTTCCGTGCATTTTCATTTCTGATCGTAGTGAACACTTTACTGGTTCGAAAGGTACACCTACGGCTAAAAGTGAACATGATGGTCTCTATTCAGGTGGACAACTCCAAGCAGGCAAAACTAAGGGCAGCCAAAATTCGGGGAACTGTTCTCCTCATAACAATGACGTTCGCTTTTATAATTCCATATTTCGGTTACATGGGCTACGCTGCATATAACATGATTGCAAAACCCGATATTGACTTTCAGACTGATTACGTCATTCGCTTTTCAAGTGGTGTGATAGCATTTTCCAATAGCGCAGTAAATTTTGTGATCTACGTAGTGCAGATGAGGGGTTTCAGGATTTTTCTAAAGAAACTTGTGTGTAGTGCGCGTCCAGCTGTCATACCAGAACAATTTGACAATGCTGCCAAGCCGGGAACTCGACCGGGGACAATGGCATATTGTGCACAGGTTATTAAAATGGCTGAACTGGAGCCAACACACTGAATTTATTGTGTATATATTTCATCAGAAGCTATGGATAATGCACAGAAAGGTTTGGGAAGAGATTACAAACCGAGTCTATCAGTTACGATTGAATTCCCCCCCCCCTCCCCTCCTTCGACTTGCCTTCCTCCGCTTTAACCCTTTAACTCTCAGATCAAATTTGTCATTCTCCTTACTGTCAACCTTACAGTTCTTATAATGTTAGATCAGAGAATTTAGTATTCGATCAATTAAGCGCATTAGAATAAGATATCATTTACTTATTAACATTTGTTTAAGATCTAGAACTGTAAAGTTAACGAAAGATTGCAGTGATGAGCTATTGCAAGAAAGTATAATGTTCCATTATCTTCTGTTGGTTATTGGTGTGTAAGGTGTAAATATCTTTGTTTTTCTCAGAGGCAAGGTATTTGTTTTTGTATTTTTATTTTCCTCCGCTTCAGCATTTTAATATATTTATATTATAAATAGTAAATAGCGAGAGATTATATATAACTCTTGTAGGTAGTTAATAAGTTATCTATGAAAAAAAAAGTTGTCTCTATTCCAAATGATCGGAGATCACTGAAATTAAATCAGAATTGTAATCTTGTATCTGAATCAATTTTTGAAATCTCAAATCTCATTTATTTGTTTGCGTAATTTTTTACCGCGAATCATCTTTTACACAGAAAATGACGACGTGCAACATAAGAAGCTTCGCTTCTTGATGCAATTTCTCATGAATTCGTTTCTTGTCTTAGTGACGCTGGAATTTTGTAACGTTTTCGAAATGACCACGAAAAACTCAATGGTTCTTCTCTAAAAGGTGAAAAAGTGCTTCACGTTAACCTTCTAACTTTCAAAAATAGTGGTTTTAACGTACCTCGCCTTCGGTGGGTTTAGAATATATACAAGGTCAATTTGCAGCACCCTTCTCCTTTGAACGGGATGTTAACCTTTCCAAGTACTATTTTTCCATTGCTCCAGAACGAACCATCGCTGAAATTAGGGTGAAAAAGGGACATAGATATAAGTAATCTGGGTGGTTACATTAGAATATGAACAATCCTCCGCTTGCGAGTTCGAATAATCATCAAACAAACGCTGTTTTACGTTCACTTTAATCTGTGTGAAGTACACGAGACAGCATTCTTGAAAACGAGACTTTGACCTGTAACTGACGACATTCTTATCTACAGAAAAATTTATCATAAAGAGATAAATTTGTATAGGTTTTTTCCTCACCAGGATTTTAATGACTAGCAACACTTGAACTTGCTCGATGGATTTTTTTATTCTACCCAATTCACGACGTGCATTTTAAGATAGTATCTGCTTCTGCATTCAAGGCTTTCACCGATTGTTTGAAATCGTAATCCCACTACTGAAAACTGTCATTTCTGCCGCGTTTGCTTCGCATGATAAAGTCTGCTTAATCGAAATCCCCTTACGGCAAACCCCACACGGTAATGATGGACTTTGAAAACTTGAGAACTTAAAGCCTGATATTCAAAACGTAACAATTTGCTTAACTCTTCCTTGTAACACTAATTTGCCGACGGCACCTCTTACCAGCCTTTTTGAATCAATTTGAGATGAATCGCTAGATCCGTTATGTAAGCTCTAAATTTTGTAGAAATGTTTAGAGCTTGTTCCTTCATACTTTTCCTGAAACATCTTCACCAAAGGCTTAAGTCTTCACTGCCCCTCTACATTTTGTTCGACAGTCGAGCGAACACGAGCTGAAACTACAACAAAGCCGTACAAATGTCAACTTGCGGAAAAGGCTTCCTCTCACTCATCGAAACTGGCGCGAAATAGCGATGACGTGGTGGCAACTCACTGGCATGCTACCGCGTACGCGCAAGATCATGTTTTGAGCTCCGTTTAAGGTGCCAAACATGAGACTCACTTATACTAAGCAACCTATAAAATACTTACTTGATGAATAGTCTTCATGGAGAACGCGTTGTGTTCTATTTATCTTAAAGCATTTTCAATTCGCTCACGAGTCACGACGCCGGCAGCAGTGACAAGTATGTATACATGTTTATTCTATTTTAAAAATCGTTTGTTGAGTGTATTGTGAGATCCAATGTTTTGTGGAATCCAAATTTCCCCTCAAGACGACAGACAGAAGGACAAAATATAAAAATGTTCGGTTCAAATAAGTCTATTTCGGACTTTATCAGAAGTTCATCCACCCTCTCATCCACAGTCATTAGGTGACGCCGGAAACAATCTTCACCAACCTTTCGCTTCCACTGAAACGAAAGCATGTGAATTTTCCTTGAACACATTTCCCCTTGAGAAGACTTAACGCTCTTTGGGAGAGCAATACCGGAAGGCTTTCTAATCATATCTACATGGGTCGATGCATCTCAAGAACACCTTTTTTATTTTAAAAGTTAAAAAAAAAAAAAAAGAACAAAAGAAACGATTACTAAAAGTCTTTGTCAAAAAATATCTTTCTCCTTCAAAGTTTGACTGACAAGCCATTCCCATGAATAGCATGAGACTACCCTTTAGATAATTGTTCAACAAAAGTTACTCTCTTATCGAGAACTAATTTTATCGGGTTAAGATGAGCAATGGTTTGCATGTATTTTTTACTATTTCCTTCAAATTACTGTCGTTTTGAGTGTCATTTTCATTAAACCGAGATGGAACTGTTTCAGTTACTGAGCACCTTAAAATGGTATCCATACCTTTACAATCTGATTTTTATTTCATTCATCCTCTCTTTTTATAACATAGCTAGTAAATTTGTCTAATCAAATTCAATTGCGCGAGCGTGCTTCATATTCCTATTGTGCACGCTCATGACGTCAGCAAACAGATCCCTCGAGAAAAAAAATTCCAACGGGTTGAAAATGTTATAAAACAATTGGTTCATACGTCAGCTGAGCGTTCATCGAGATATGGAGCACTTGGGAAGTTTAGAGAGCACGCAAGAAGCATCTCACGCATCTCTCGTGCTCTCCAAACTTCCCGCGTGCTTCATATCTCGATCAACGCACGCTGACGTATGATAGCATAACATAGCTAGTAAATTTGTCTAATCAAATTCAAATGCGTGAGCGTGCTTCTTATTCCTTTATAAAATAATTCAAATAGTACGCGCGCTCTGATTGGCCATAAAACCATTTTACATGAGCGTATGTAAACACGGTTTTCATACTGAATCTTCTCGCGGAGTTCTCCCTGCTATTTATTTAGCATTAACATAGTTTCTTTAAGTTTGTTTTGAGTACAGTAATGGAAGAAGAAGATTTTCCTAATTTTTCTTTGGAGTTTAATTTTCCCAGTATTCAAGAAACGGCCGAAAAGCCAAATGAACAACAACAACAAGCACGTCGCTTTTCTTCGTTGCAAGAAGAGGCTCTTTCATTAGTTATTTTATAAAAGAAATGTAAAATAGTTTCCGTGTTTACATAGCCTGTCATAAACACTTAGGGGGTTGGAAGAACACTCGATAAGCTGGAAACCACACTCACATCAGGCTATGTAAACATGGAAACCATTTTACATTTCTTCAATTGTGCACGCTCATGACGTCAGCAAACAAATCCCTCGAGAAAAAAATTTTCCATCGGGTTGAAGGTTATAAAACAATTGGTTCATACGTCAGCGTGCGTTCATCGAGATCTGAAGCACGTGGGAAGTTTGGAGAGCACGAAAGATGCGTACGAGTTGCTCGAGGCGTAAATTGTTAAATGTGCAGAAAATCTTACTAAAATGGCAAGTATCCTCTAAAATACAGTAGGCCTTAGTGTGAACTTTTCACCTAAAGTTATACCGAATATCTCCTAAACTTGACCCTAGATCACTAAATGTTTCCATACAGTTCTTGCTCACCATAATCTTGTTCTTGCTCACCATAATTCAGTGAGATTTTTTTGTTGTTACTTCACCTCCCAGCGCTAGCGTAGCAACGAAAGGATCGCCCTAAGAAGTTTCTTGTCCATTCTTGCTCTCATTCAACTGGTGAACTTGACAGTTAAGGAAAAATCTTGAGAGGGCACACCTTCAGAACGTCCGTAATTTCCTTCTCCACCCTTCGTTCAAGGACTGCAGCTTTAAATCGCGACGACAGTATGTCTGTTACGGCTGTAATCTACCGTGACCTCCTTTCACATTAAGTAACAAGCAGGAAAATGATTACGAAAACTAATTGATTATTTGATAAAGCTAGCCCTACATCTGAAGTAATTAACCGTCGCCATTCCTCCTAAGGTCGCCATTTAACGTTCCCAACACCGTGGAATTGTCTTTTAAGTGCTTGGGGGTCCGCCCAGTCTGAGTTAAGGTAACTGTCGTCTTCATCTGTTTCAAGTTTCTACAAGAAAAAAAATGGACTTGTAAATAAATAAAAATGAATGTATGTATTGTATATCAATGACAGAGCTTGACCATTGCCTTCCTGCTTAACATTAACACTCACATTCTCCTCACTGTTCTCTTTACAATGCTATGCTACTGACAAGGGGAATTTTTTTGGAAATCAGGTGCTTCTTAAATTGGTAATTATTTCCTTTATCCTCATCACGTTCATTTCAAATTCAAAAGTAATACTCTAAGAAGAATTAAAAGCCAGTCACTCTAACATGACAAAATCTGGGTCTGCCAAATGTATGTGAGCAAGTGTTGTATGGTGAAAATTTCCAAAAAATCAGATCAGAGATAGTGGCAAGACACACTTTTAGTCCTATACATCAATTATGTATTAACATCTACTTTCCTGATCATTCATCAAAATTACAAGCTTTTGGCACAGAAAAATATTTTATACTGGGTTCCATAATTTCAAATTTTTTCTTCCTTTGTGTAAAGTGACTTAACTTAAGATTTAGTAAACACATAAAAGGAAATTAAATGTACATGGATGTGAAAACTCACCTTAAGGTCTTCTTGTTTCCTGTAAGCATAAGCCATCATTTGTTTCCGTTGCTCTTCACTGAACACTGGTTCTCTGCTGGGTGGCCCTTGTCCCTTCTGTAATCAGGTAGAAAAATTTAAAACACACACTTTCACATGTGCTACATTCACTAACTTTATCAAGAAGTGTACAAGTTCAAGCATTGAAAAAAGAAAAAAACAAAAAATTGTATCGAAAAAACAAAACGAAACAAACCAATTATTGTAACATACAGTATAGTATCAAACCCATCAGATATATTTATTTACTAAATCATTTCAATGCAGTTCTTAATCAATTCGAAATTGATATACTTAGTAATTTCAATGAAAGGGTTCAACTCAGTCAACCCTGCACATAAGACCAGCTGGCCAACCTTCCCCCTCCAACCTACCACCACCCACCCAACACTAACACACACATGCAAAGTCACACATCTCAGTGACTACCACCACTGCAGAAGATTCCTTAGCTTCAACTGCATTCACCCTTCGGGCAATTTAAGATATATTTTCTCGTTGTTCACCTTTTGAAGTTTGGCAATAAGTTTTGTTTTCTCATTTTTCCCGATGAAGTCTTGCAGCTTTTTCCCTCTCTGAAGCTCCTTCCCAGCCCACCACAATTGGGTAGTGCTTCCATCCAAGACTTGAAGGGAAGCCTGTTAAGGGGGAAGGTACATCACACATGTAAATTCAGTGGAAATGAGAGAGACAAGGGAATTATGTAATTTTTATTTACTAATTGATGAGAAATAAGAAAATCATACAATCCAAATAATGTCAATTTTGTCATCCACCCCATGTTTAAAAACAGGTATATATAATCAAAAGTAACTAAAAGGAGGAAAAAAACAACTTTATACTGTACTGTACATGATTTTGTTGGGCTTATTGGATGCATCCATACAGTACACAATGCTTGATAGCAATTTGCATCATTTTAATCAGCCTGACTTAAAGGGAGAATTCCCCTTAATTCATGTAATGTACACGCGTGTAAGAACACAAAAGAAAAAGATTATGCTGGGTCAGGGAGTAATCTCATAAGCAGCAGCAGCACTGTTGTAATTTCAACTTTGATTTTGGTAGCTTAATCCATTAACTTGCATGTAGTGCATTCATACACTTACGCATACATTACTTGTGTTTTTAATACCGGTAGCTTCACCTGAGTTCCAGATAAATCCTCTTTGTTTTCCAGTTCATGTCTGATAGGATCATGGGGAGGTAATCCCATGGGATACACAATCATCACAGCTCCTCTCATTTGATCTAAAGAATCTTTAATAATCTCATCAGTGAGAGAGATATTTGCTGCCACTTGTTCCTAAAATAGGGATGGTGAAATATACACATTTCAAAAATTAATTGAAATCCTTCAATAATTGCTTTATATCAATTGCCCTGAAGTTCGTGAAACTCAGCCCCCATGTTACTTTTTCAAGTTTCAAAATCTTAAACATGCAGTATCATAAAATAAAATAAAAAATGATGATGAGTAATATCACATGTTTCACCTGTGGTCAGAAATACAGTACAGTTACCATCACAAATATATATGTACAAGTAACTACTTGTATCATTTCCAACAAACCTTGGACACTTTAGCCTTTGCTTCTTTTCTTGTTCTGTTGATGACCTCTGCCATTTTCTCACTGGGTGCTACAGCAAAAAGGAACGTGATTACATTAATTTATGTACTTAGATACTTGTCTCTGTGTACATGAAATAGAGTATAAACTTGTCATTCAAATATTTACAATATAACATGTTAACTTTGAACTGAATATTTCATGCCATACATGTATCTGTTGTTCAGTAATATAATTTATTCTCAGTCTGCATTAGACAGTCACAACTATTGTGGGGTCCTATGTATGGGCAATTCCATGTTATGGACATTACACCCAGAGACCAATTTTTTTGGAAACTAATTTCCTTAAAAAAAACTTATTTTACACAGTTTTAAATTTATAATTATTTTGTTCAAACATTCCTCATGGGGTAATTGACTATCAGCAGTAAAGAAACTTTCCTTTCTTCAACAGCTGCTACCAGTATTTTGTATGAAATTCTGTTACAGACATTACAAAAAAAATCAACCTACAATTTAATGTGTTCACTTGACATCAACTTATAGTTTTCCTGGGAATTGACTATTCAGACAAAAATCATTTAATAATAATAAGAACAAAGCTGCTTCATAGCTCTTTAAAATCTAGTTGTATCCCTTATTCTGTGGTTAGATTTTGAGCTTGAGGTAAAACTTGCTGTTATGGACATTACACAATTTTTGTTAATGACATTGCACTGTGAAACTTTGTTTTACACCAGTATGAATAAGGGAATGTTCTTATTTGTTTATGAACTTTTGATAATTGACTTAATTTCAGAACTGATGAATGTATTCTTAATCAGGCTCAATTACAAGTTAACTCTCTCATCTGGTTATGCTGATAACCATAACCTTAATACTACAGTTTGTGAACATGTCACTGTGGTCTGTGGAGTATCTCCTATAGAGCATGCTCCTTACAATTCAGTTTTTTTGAGCAAGCTCTAACTAGTATTTCTGCTGTCTTTTGGTTCTTGCTTTCTGAGATACAGTGCAGATTAGATTTCTAGTTTGAGACCAAGTTTTACACTGGAAGAGTCCTTAGGGTTACTGATACTCACAGAGGTTGAAATTAAATTTCTTTGCCAAGTTGTGGAAACATTTAACTGGCCTCTGAGGAGCAATATTGGGAAATTGTGCACAAAAGCAGAGTCTGCTATGGCCCCATAGAGCTAAAAGGCACTGGACCTTTCAATGTTCCAAGTCTTTCATATATTCAGAGGCTGTTTAAATATCTTTTAAAAAAATGTTTTAAAATAACCAGTCAAACTAACTGCTGATTGTTTTAATTACTGAACTTGGATTGCGCTGAACTCCTTGTCTGAGAACTATTCATTGAATCTTAAGAAGCCACTATTTTGGAAAGTTACATTGCACTGAACTCACTCAGTATAAATTGACAATTTTCTCTGTAGTATGAGGACAGTCATTATCATTGCAATGGTCTTTGAAAGTTGAAGTATTGCTTGTTTTAAGACACATTTCTAAAACATTGAATGTTTTTTTTGTTGTTGTTTTTTTTTATCTTTAGATATTTTAAAAGAAGGTACTGGCTCTTGAAATGATTTGTCTCTCAGTAAACTAATAATTCATAGTTAGATGTAAACTTTTTGAAAATTTATACTCCTCATGTCACCATGGTGTTGCAACTATAAATGCACAGTTGTTGTTGTGGTTATTATTAATAGTGTTTACTTAAAAGTGCTGTAAGCTTGGATGTGATAAATTTGAACAAAATTGGTTTTGTCTGTAGTATTTATCTCTTCCAAAAGAATTACAGTAATAAAAGTCATTCACTCATAATGTACGCAATGTAATTTCCATAACATCATGTCCATAATGTTATGTCCGTAACATAATGTCCATAAGATACAAAGATGTAAAGATGTAAAGTAGGCTTATTTTTTTCTGGGCCCAGTTGTATAAAGGGTGGATAATGCTATCCAATGGATAAATTGCTCTCCAGCAGATAAGTGATAGCAAAACATATAGCATTATCCACCAGATAGAGATTTATCCAGTGGATAGCATTATCTGATCTTTCAACAACCAGGGCCTGGAGATTTTCCAGGATTTTGATAATTTACAGCACTCAAGTTTGGGCCCCTAAAAACTGTAAAAGGAGCCAAGCTTACAAAAATAATTTTAAATGATTTTCACACACTTTTTATTGGACAAAAATAAACAGCCTTTCTTCGCCATTTCCTGTAAAGTCAACTTTCAGATAACTTTTTTATCAATTTAGGGATTCCAAAAATTCTTGATTGGGCTAGATAAGAAATACTTTAAATTTCACCATTTAAGCAGTTCTAAAATGGAATGACCCACATGAGATGAATTCCATGTATTATGATAGATAAATGTCACTAAAATAGTTTATCTCTTCAATCTGGTAAAATGCAAAGTTCAGTTTACATGTACATGTACACTTTAACATCATTCAACATAACAATCGCCTTTGATCACTCAAAGGCAACAACCAAATGCAGACAATAGTTCATGTCAAAGTACCTTTCCCATTCCGTCTGCCAAGTGGGTCCTTACGTTCAATGACACCTCCACTGGGAACACACTCATCCTCCCAATCATCATGGAGATTCAGATCAGACAGCTGTTCATCTGTAAGTCCCTGCATGTTGGGTGGAAGGGTTATGCCGTGTTTTGCAAGCTCTTCCATCTCTGAAAGGACATTTTGGACAATCAAGGACATTTTGAAACCCTAACCCAAAGCAATAACACTTCTGTGCTACAAACTGAACAAGACTTCTCCCATAAAAGACATTTACCCTGTGAGGTTCCACATTTTAAAAGACTGAGACTGAATGTTTGAATTACAAAATGATAATAATACCAGAACTGGCTCCTTTCAGCTGAAGTAAATTTGGAAATGTACAGAAAAGAGTCAAAATTCATTGACAAAGTTCCTTCACGTGTGACCTCTAAAACTAGTGATTCCACGGTCAATTTATTGCCTGCTAAAAAAAACTCTTCATTCGAGACGTCTGAACGGTACTGGATACATTTTTATTGTGGTTTAAACTGATTTCAGGTCAAAATGACTTCAGCTGAGAATGTATCAGGCACAAAGGTAACAAGCAATTCAGATTTGAGTGAAACATAGTAACTTAAATGTGTACTAAAAAAATCATTTTTACTTGAATTTTAACCGTATCTACCTACGACGAAGTTTTTTAAACAGATCGTAACGATTGCTTCAATATGTATACGCCTATTCCCTTCAAGTGAAGTAAAACCGAAGAAAGTTCTAGAAGCAGTGATCAAGAGGAGAAATCAAGTTCAAACCTCCACCAAAGATAGAGTACTGTATACTGAGGTCAAATGTGGGTTTCCCTACCGTAAAACAAACGTTCAATTTTTAATCTGCCATTCTGGATCCGAACAATTTGAGGTATCAGCTCGGAAAGTTCTGCTTGGCAAGTTGTTTCGATGAGGAATAGACTCTCATCTCCTTGTTTAATGTGCAATTTCACCATTTCAAAAGCGAATATTGGACACCCTTCACAATCGAAGATGGCGGAAAATATAGCGTTGTACTGTTGCCGTAGATACTATGGAAGCTATACCACAATGCATCATAATTTCGTCAGGGGACATCTCCTGATATCATGTATGACGTACTCCTCAAATCATAACGAATAAGCAGGCTCGCAAATTCGATATTTAAACTTTTTTTCTAGAGCGCAGTTATTTGCAATGGAAATTCCTTCGTCTTCATCCGAAGTAATGTGCACTGACACAAAAGAAAGATTGGGCTTTCAAGTGGATTTTTCTTGGGGTGTTGGTTCCCTTCGACAATGTGCAGGATTCCCGGCGCGATTTCTCGACCCACAGGATCAGAACTGCTACTTTACCCCACTTGGTTCCCTTGTAGTTTGCTGGGATGTGACAACAAGACAAAGGAAGTACTCTTTTCAAGCCCACAGTGATTTGATTACTGTCATGCTCTATAATTCCCACCTCAACGCCACTCTGACTGCGTGTTATAGTGGTGAAATTAAACTTTGGAGTCCAAACTGGGAATTGCTCCTCAGCTGTAATGCAACAATTGGAGATGTTCATTTTGCTGACTGGTCAACAAATGGAAAGCGAATTGTACTCTGTGGCGATAGTATTCTTTCGGATTCTGTTGTGATCGTATTCGACCTGGTTAAGCAGCACGAAAAATGGGAAATTCAAGAAAGGTGGACGGTATCCCCCAAAACGCACAAATTAGGCACTCAAAGTTCTTGCAGCTCTTTCCAAGAAAAAAAAGGTTCGGGAGACCTCACTGAAACACCTGAATCATTCATCAACGAAGGCGAACCAAGCTCTACATATGTAGAGCAGAAAGATTTCTATGACATGGCCATCTTTGCATCACAGAACAATGTTATTGCACTTCTTCAGAGACACCACAATCATTTCAGTGAAGCTCACCTGTTCTCAGAAACTGGCATTTTCTTGAAATCTCAAGCCCTAGATCCCCTTGGAGATTCGAAAGCATCTATGATGTGTTTGTCACCATGCCACAATGGTATTGTGGCTGTGGGATTTCAGGGAGGAATCTTTCTCCTGCTCCATGAGGCTGATCTGTCAATTGCATCATTCCTTCAGGCCACAGGTTCAGCACAGGTTGCACTGTGGCATGAAAACTACCTTCTTGCTGTTTCTTACATGTCAGGAATTTTTTCCTGGTGGACAACCGGAGGAGAACTTGTTCACGAAATTAAAGGAGGCCCTACAAATTCTATTATCCATCTCAACTGGGCAGTACCAGGAAGAGCTCTATGGGTAGGTGGAATCATGTCTCTCCATCATCTCTCATTGGAATACAACAACCCTGGAGACCAATTTCCTCACTTTTTAAAGCAGGACCATGACTTAAAATTTCTTGAAGTCACTGGATGTGGAGTTGCAATGAATGAGAAAAACTTAGTCCTGGCAGGAGATTTCACAGGTAACATCTACATATGGCAAAAGGGTAAAACTGATCCAATATTCAAAACAAAGCATGAAAGCTCCATCAGATGTCTTACCTGGAACAATGACTATGCTTTCATTGGTTGTTTGGATGGTGATCTTCTAAGATGGCTACCAAATGGAGATGTTCCTCCATGTACTGCTTTGACTTGTCTTGGTGGCATTTTGACAATGGCTTGGTCACATGATTGCACCAGCTTAGCAATTGGCTTGGACAGTGGGCATCTGTGCCTTTACATGTTTCAACCAATCAACTCCTCTCAGCCCAAGGAACTCCTAAATTTTAGAGCTCATTTTAGTGAGAGAGAGGGCCAACAGGTGGCAGCTGAAATCTGGAGTTTGTGTTGGAGTCCATGTTCATCTATGATTGCCACAGCATCTGAGGATCAGACAGCCTGTGTATGGAATTCCTCCAATGGTGAGTACTGCTTTCTGTTTTCCAAGTGATTATTCAGTGTATTATACCATAAATTATAGCTTGATAGTAGACAGGCATGGTACATGTTGAAATAAAGCCTATAACTATATGCACAGCTGCACAATTGTACAAGTATCTTTCAAAGATAATCAGATAAGGATTCTACACAATCAAGCTTTTTTTTTTTCCTTAGCATAATTAATTTATAGCTGTTCAAAGCAATTTGAATCAAAGAAAATTCACACCAAGTCCATCCCCAGGAATATTTTGCTCCCCATCAGTTCTCCCCTTTTATGGCATGGCCTAATTTTTTTTGGTTTAATATATTTCAGTCAAAGATCACTCATTTCAGAAATTACTGACATTACTTCAACTTCATCAATAAGTAATCAGTGATAGTTGATTGCTAACCAGTCAATGACTATTTGAATGATTGATGCCGATTTTAACACTAGAATAAAATAAGTAACAATAACTAACATCTCATTCAAATGGAGATAAGTTTATAAAGTGTATTTCCCCTTGCATTCACTGCAAGTAGACACTGATTTTTACTAGAGGTCAGAACTAGCAGAATCCTCTTTGTGTATACTATTTGGTATATGAGCATGAAAAACTCTTCATGGAAATGCAAATTTAAATGAATGCAAATTTCAAATTTTAATAAGTCAATGGTTAAACTGCTTAAATTATGCACCTGCATGAACATAAATGGATCAATCACTATATCTGAAGGTATTACATGTAATACCCATAGTATGACTATTAAATACAGAAACATTTGTTTTATTGAACATTTTGTCTTGGTTACTGGTTTTATGAAATGCAATTGATGACGTTATGTTCCACCTGCTCGTTATGTAGTGAAAAGCATATGTACATGTATCAAAAGTTATGTTCTTGTGTTGCTACTTCATGTTGATACATGTAGTTCTCAAATCTACAGTACTGAATAGCATATGAAATCTGAACAGTGAAAAGTTAATATTAAAATATTAATGTTTCAATAATATATTTACACCTTTAGAAATAACATTAAAGTAGTTGAAAGTGTAGCCATGAACATGGGATATGATGCAATGTGCAAAAGTATTGATTTACTGAGTACTTTCATTTGTGTGTCTGTATCCTGTGCTTGAGTGGAAAGGACTGATCATTTTATCTGAGCTTTTGCACATATATAAGGTTTAATTTTTTTTGCTTCATGCTTAATTATAATTTACATACATGTAATATTGAAAGATTATTTCACTTTCTAAACAATGAACACTTTAGTTCCACCTATTGCATTGTTTTAATGATTAATAGTTTTCAAACAACCGAGTGACCCAATTATGTGGTGATTTTTACTGGCTGGTGATTTCTAATATTTTTAATTAAATAAGGAATTTGCAGGTATGAAACTGGAAATACATGTTTGTTTTTGGAAATCTATTGTCGCCAGTTTGTCAAGTCAGTTTTGTGACTGACTGGCCACTGGGTCCTTGATTTGTAGTTGTTGCCATTTTTGTGTCCTTAATGACATTTTGTAAAATAAATGTATTTGTTCGTTGTACAGGTAAATAATTTGCAATACAACAGATCAGAGAAGTCAAGTTGCTTATCAGCGCTTCTTCTTATTATTCTTTGTTCAAAGCATTTATTTATTTTCTTAAAAATTTGCATTCATTTGGTAAGCTTTCCCATTCATTGCCATTCAAACTTTCTCATTCAGTTAATTTTCCTATAATTATAGACTGAAATGAGCAATTCAGAATCCAAAATTTTCAGATGAAATCCCTGAACCAATCAATAATGGTCTAATCGCAGGGCAGGACATCTTGTTTCTCACTGATGAACATGTTTTGCACAATATACAAAACAAAAACAAAAGATGAACAGCTATTTTTACTTTAGAGAATTGCAGGGTGTTTTTTTTAATTTTTTTGTTCTGAAGAACAGTTATAAATCATCACAATCATTGTATTCTTTAGGAGTAAAAATTAAAACACTTACTGGGCATACAACAGCTGTGACATCAATTGACTGGAAGGAAATGGCAAATGGGCAGTTGTTATTGGCAACTTGTGCTGATGACAGGACAGTGCACTTACGAGATGGCGTTAATTTTGAGATGAAGCATGTCTTTGGCACAAAAGACATCCCAGGATGGTACACACTTACCTACCTGAGCTTGAACCCCACCAAGCATTGGTGTCTCTGTTCAACGCAGAATGGGCGTTTAGTTCTCTGGGACTGCTTGAGTGGTGAAAGACTTGCATGCAGGAAAATGCATGCAGGTTCTATTGAAGGATTGGTGTGGAACAATGATTATTCTCTGTGTGCCACTGTTAGTTCAGACTGTGTAGTGAACACATTTAGTGTGGACGAAATACAATCAAAATTGTGATACAAAATTATAAATGCGGTGGACTTTTTCTACCTGTTTTAGTTGGTGTATGTACACATGTATGATGGTTTAAGATGTGAAAATCCTGCATAGCCACACATGTTTTATTCATATAACTAATTTATAAGTTACACTTTTCAGCTTCCAAGGTTGATAAAGAACGTGTAAATGTTTCCCCTAACTAAGAGTTTGGTACAGGCTGTGACATTCTACTCGTCAACCGACACTGTACTATGGTAATTAAAATCTCGAGATATTTTTTTTTATTTAGATTATCTATTTATTTTGCCAATTTGTTACTAAAATGAATCCGTTAAAGTACAGGAGGAAAAGACAATAATATGGAAATACAGATAAGGCTGATAACCAGGCTTAATAAGAGAATGTATAATCGCGTGACAGTTGATAAATGCGAAGCCTGAATCAATTAGACATCGAGTGAATAATCAATTTTTTTTAGTATAAATCTACTGGCCGTTCAAAATTTAAGAACAAGACAGGCTCATGTTTTCAATTTGTTTTGCTTTCAACAACCGCGTATTGTTTGTCTGTTCATTTTAGTCACTTTCTCTCACATGATATACAGTTGTATAGCAAGTAACGTGCGCAACCAGATTGCAAAATTATTGATAAAACGTTTTTGGACTTATACTGATACAATCTATAGGACAGACTTAGATGAAAAAGCGATTTTTCTGGACGGGTATCATTACTGTTAGTGAAAAGAATCTTGAGAGAACATACGACCGACCCTTGCTGTGCATGTTCAGTCTGCCATGTCTAAATAAATCGCCAGCTTTCAAAAGGAGTCAAAGGTCATACAAGAAAGAAAAACAAACACGCGACGTCCTAACTGATCTTTGTATCCTAGAGGAATCCGACAATATACTACGCGGAAACGTAGAACAACGGCTGAATACTATAAATTACACACTGAGACATAAATTGATAAACAGTAAAAGATGTCATTCGAATTTAGCTTTCGTCATGGAATATAAATTTATTCCGAAATTGATAGCCTTTCAGCTGGGTTGAAAAGCACTTTTCAATATGTCCGTCGAATTTTGGGTGTGAAATGACAAAAGAATCGCCGAACGTTTAGCACTCTGTAGATTTTAAGGGAAAAATTTCCTAGTTTAACACATGTTTGGTCTATGGAAAATGAAAAAAAAATTAAATAATGTAAGTTACTAAATCACCCACGTAGGATAAATGCTGTAATCAATTATCCATATGATAAAAATGTAACCATGTAATTAATTTATTCTTTACGCAGATAAATGCAATGAGCAGTGTTGTGCTTGTCCAAATTGTTTCTTTTTTTTTCCTCCCAAACAAAGGCGAGGTCTGTTTTACTTAACAAATCTGCGAGAAAGGTAAGAGCTCTTACGGTTACGTTATAAAAGTAGAAACGCAGTAAACAAAAAATGCCACATTTCTGCTGCGTTTTCGCGACTCAGTTATATCTACTCTTATTGAGAAAGCTTTTATCTGTACGATTCTGAAACATCTCTTCTCGGTTTGTAGCTCATTCTGTTTAAACTTGAGCGTTTTTTATGCTGCCTTTTGTCCAAAACAAATGAAAAATTATCTGAAGAATGTTCTTCGCTAGATATTGAAGCAATGCACAGCGTAGCTGTGGACACGTCAACTCCAGTTCGTTCTTTTAGAAACACGACAAACAATGAATAGGCCAAAGGACGTCGCAGAAACAGTGAGTTCATTGCTCTTACATTGTCTTCAAATATCTATTAGTTTAGCTGTTAGTATGGTTCAGTATACGCAATAAACGTCTGTCTTTTTTGCCTGACCTTCTGTCTTTAATAATGACTTTTTCTAAAAACAGGTTTTTTATTTTATCCAACAACAACTTTTAATTTCGGTCGCCAAAAAGATTTTACCAGCACTTTTTTCTTTAAAACTTTTTTTCATTCACTTATAGCTTTAGGCGCCGCTAATGAATTTTTCAAGAAATTCTAATAGCCTTTCAGCATGGCTGAAAAGCACTTACTGTAACCATGATACCGCATTCAGTTGAATTTAGACTTAAAATGAGACTGAAATGAATCACCAAATAGCTATCGGCACGTTCTAAGGGACATTTTCATAGTTTGGTGCATTTAAAGTCAACAGGATGCGGCACTGGAAATGTATGTAAATTTCTGATTCTCTTTTGTGGGGTAAAATGCAATGAAGGGTGTCATGCACGCGGAAATTCATTGTTGATTTTTTTTTCAAAATATACAGGTAGTAAAGGTTTGTCTAACCGGAAAACTCAGCGGGAACGGTCTGAGCTCTCACATTTTTTCGGGTGTTGAAACATGCTAAACGAAAGCTAATCAGAGGAAAAAATGTATTTTCTGACATGGGAAAGAAACTCAGGGAAGTAGTTTAGATTCCAAAGAGTCGTCTGCTCTCTTACAGTCAACCAACCTCATTTTTTTCCGCCTCTCATTTAGAGTTGAAAGGGCTTTGTTTGGACGGTTTTTAAAACATTTCTTCCTGGTTTGTAACACCTTAAACTTAAGTTCGCACCTTTATTTCGATCTTTTTTCAAAGCTTCCCTTCTGACATACACATAAAAAAAAAAATTTGTGAAAATTATTTGTCCTGCACAGAAACAATTTCTAACATGTTTGCATGGCAACCTCGAAGGACTGAGAAGCAGGCAGGAGACACGCGAGGGCAGGTGGCTGAAAGGGAGAAGGGCTCATTCGTCCACGAACGGAAACGAATGAGGCATTACGATCGGTCAGTTATCTGTCACTCAAAGCGAATGATGAAAACAGATCGATCTGAGTTCAAATCAGATATTCGATCGGTTCAAATAGGAACGGAGTCGCTCTCGAAGAGATCTGAATTTTCTCCACGAAAATTTCGTAAGTTTGATTTCGTTGTTATTTAGTACAATTTTGGTATTATTGTTATGGGCAAGGGGTAAAGATATTCTAGAAGTAGAGACATTCTCCCCAGGAGATTTTTCACTTTGGGCCTTTAAGCCTGAATATCCGTCATATCTTTTCTCCCAACACACTTGGTGCAGACTTATTTCTTTTCCTAGAGTCTTGATGAGTACCTCTCGCATCAGGTATACCGAGACACCTAAGGTCCATCTTTGAGGCTACTTATCTTGGATATTTTCCTGTCAAAGGAATTTCGAATGTGGTTTCAATAGTTCTCTTATGCCATACCGATAAACATGATAAATAATCATTCAGTTCCAGACGTTAAAAATTTGTCCTGCTGATAAATTTATTGGCGGTTTCACTTTTCACCGGAAGGTAATAACAAAGGTGCCTCAGATGACAGTTGATGTAACAAGTAATTCGCTGAGGGAGCGGAAATGTGGTACGTCTGCGCTCAGCAGCGGACTGTCCCTTTCCTTTCCTCCCCCTCGTCTGCCTTTGTTATTTTTGCTCTCTTGAGCCTCTTGCCTCTGCTACAAGACTTACCGTTTGTCTGAAAGGAAATGGAAAAGACTGATGCAGACTTGTGAATAGTGGGGTTAAGAATGTTTTATCGCTGGTCTGTTATTAGGATGTCAAAGGGGATGATTTTCTGAAGAAACTTTGTTGCTGCGTCGGCGTGGGATATTATTAGATACTTTGTTTTTGCATGATAAAGTGAGTTAATATTGTAAATAATGTAAATTGGCCACCGTAAAGAGCTCCTAGAGCTGACTTTTCGAGCGTTAGCCCTTTGTCCAAGCGTCCGTTTCGCAATTACGTAAAAAGAATGAATATAAAAAATAAGTCAGCAGGAAGCCGGAATCATACTACAAAAAAAAAAAAAAAAAACAATAAATGCTAGAAAATTATTTTCAAAATTGTGTAACCAGATTTCAGAGAAATTGGGATTTAATAAGTGAAAAAAGTACCCACATTTGCTTCCCAAGGGTGCATACCGTACCACCAATCGAGATCATTCAAATTTCTTCTAATTAAAAGCTATCTCACCGTTTTTCCCTTAAGAATTGAAGTCATGTTTGCTTCTCAAGCCACCAAAGCATTTTTTTTAACGATAACTTTTACATTTCGGACGCCAAGTGAACTCGATTTTATCAACATATTTCTTCCGAAACATTCTCACTACTGAAAGATATTTTTATCAGTCGAGACTTTATTTATATTATTTACTGAGTTAGACTAGGATATCTTAAGGCCCTGAATATATGTTTTGTTGAAAACTTGTAATTGCCCGTAAATAGGATAGAAGAACACGTTCCGTAAATAAGATGACCTATTCCACTTAGTCGAATTTTAGGCTGCAAATGATAGGGGGAGTCTCCTAAAACTGATGTGAGCGATTTGAGAAAAAAAATTTTTATCGTTTGGCCATGTCGAGTCTACAGGACATGAAAGTAAAACCTTCGCGGCTATAGATGCAATGAACAGAGAGTCGCAAGCACAAATTCACACCCGCCGACGCAGCACCACAGTTTCTCTAAAAACTTGCCATATTTATTCGTTTTAAGTTTACAGTTACCTATTACAGGACGCAGCGCCACAGTTTCTATAGAAAGTGTGCCCCATTTATTCATTTCAAATGACGTTTACAGTTACCCACCGGCGCAGCACCACAGTTTTCTTTAGAAACTCGCTCCCTTCATTCATTTTAGGGTTCCAGTTACCTCTTAAAGAGTAGATTTTCAAATAAATAAACCAGCATGAAGGGCATCCAATGCAATTAAACAATGCAGTCAGTCTGTTTTAAATATGATACCAGAATCAGTGATCTAGATATCAGACAACAATTGCAAGCATTCAGTGTCCATCATTTTCTTCTGAACTGAGAACACAAACGGAACAAGTCAAAGTTCTTCTCTAAACCTATCTTCACCTGACTTCCTCATTTAGGAAAGATTACTTCGGGTAAGGATTTGAACAATATATCATTCCCTAACATTTTCCAGGTCATAAAACACATGTTGTGAGACCTTGCCAACTTTTGCATGATTCATTTTGACTTCCTACTGGCTTTCATATCAATTTCTAATGTGAAACGATGTCTGTGCAACATTTTTCAGTCGCCGTCCTACTTTAGGAAGTGTTCTCCATTTTCAGGAACACTATAAGAGAGTTCCATTACCGTAGTTGCCCAAAAGCAAATGGAACTCGAGTCCTTGTTTGTTGTGCCTTGTGTCGTGATAACTCTCGTAAGTCTGATCGTCATCGGTAGAGACCGCCATTTGGCAGTAAACAATTCTATTGCGAAACTTTATCGCGTGACACGCAAACGCTAGGGTTATAGAATGTTATAATTTGGTTTTATCAATTTAATTGATATTGTAAATTGGCCACCGAAAAGATTTTCCGAAGCTGATGTTTTGAGCATAAGCCCATTGTCAAAGACAAGATAATTTGTTTGTTTTTTTTTAACCAAATTATCAACACAGTTTTTTTTATAAACTTGCCCTTTTAATCATGCATAGAATCTCTGTTTCGTATTGGTGACATTGTGACAACCATCCGCTTCCTGTGGCCGTTGCCTCTGTGGCTTTGATATTTAAAATTTTCTGCGTCATTGTTAAGGTTTCCTCGTATAAGGACACGCTGCACCAAAATCACGAATTTCAGCCACTGAACGAATAAACACCTGAAGGTAGGCCAAGGGCTCTCCCTTTTGAACGCGATGAAAAGCAGATTAAGTTTGGCCATTGACTTCCTGCGTCTGTTTTTAATCGTTAATGCTTGTACTCCGTTAATTTTGCTTTCTTGTTGAATACCAGCATCTGTTTTTAATCGTTAGTGCTCGGAATAGTGCATGGGAAATCAAGGTCCTTCTTTTCCATCATATCAAGTTTTCATCCCAGTAAATGGATTACTGAACCCCCCTATGAAGTGAAACAATAGGTGTACCTAGTGGTAATCATAGGTATCTCTATAAATGCTTTAAACCATACTATGCGATTCAGGAGACATTTCACCTACGCTTCGTACGTGTTCCCTCTCGATGTCCTCTCGAGGTTTCGTGACTTCATCCTGATTATTATTTCTGTCAAGGATAATTTGCACCGTAGCTGTTAAGTAATTTTCATTTTGTTAAGTGCATAGACATTTGAATCACATAAAGCAGAGAGAAAGAAAATTCATTTTACGTGCCTTGCGGAAAGCCTCAGATATTCGCATTGTTTATATAACTTACATAAATGTATCCGGGTTTAATGAAAATTTTCCTCTTTCTGAACCATTTTCTGAAAAAACAGCTCCGGGAGACCTTTACGAGGAAGATTGACCAACGACAGGCGAGCAGTTAAAGAACCGCAATATTTGGTTAAAATCATGTAAATTAATAAAAATTACAAAGGAATCAGGCCATATTTTTCATTTGCTACGCTCGAAATTGCGAGCAAAGTGTAAACTCCAAAACACAAAGAAATGTCAATTTCGTAAATACTAGCATCTCTCCTTACCCCTCTCTCCTATGTCTAAGTGTTTCAGCACTATTAGTCTCAATGGCCGAGTGATTCTACAAAAAATACATTAATAGGATTAACGTAGTATTTGCGCAAACTTCGCTTATCATATAAAAAGTGGGTATTAGATAGAAGGTTCCAGAACACCTTAGGCGCACAAAAGATACGTTATCTCACCGTGGTTATCAGGCGTCGTTTTTTCTATTGAAATAATTGCTCAGTTTGAAGTCCTTACGGGATATAATTGAAGTTGACGTCGTTAAATATCTCTTGCTACCAATTAAAGGTAAAAGCAATCCACGGGTTTCAATTAGAATTGGTAAGGAATAGCTCTTTGTGGTTTGCTCGTATCATTACCTGCTACAAGCAATGATTTTCAAAGACCACCACAGCGATTTAAAAGAACGATGGGAGGCGAAGGGTCATGTTAACTCCGCGGGAGTTCAAGATACAGCTATTGTCAAAATATATTTTCCATAGATAGTTGAATGCTGAACATAAACAAAACCGAAATCTTCTTTGATGTACGTTAAAAATTAAATATCACTCACGACATCCCTTGAGTCAAAAAACTAATAAATAGGCGATTCTCTTGGGACAGAAACCAGTCGAAGAGGGGACGTTCAAATTTTGCGAAGTGCGTTGAGAAGGTATGGCGACATTTGAACGAACGGCCCTCGTTTAAATTTTGTGTAAGGTAAAAAAGGAGAGAGAGGGGGTAAAAAATCGCAAAATATCGTCAAAATATGGGCTGAGACGAGAAAACTTCTAATTTTGGAAATCATCCGGCTTTGCAGTAGGCAGGATAACTTGTGCACAAGATGATAAGTTTAGTCACTTTTAAACTTTTTGCATTGAATTTTCACTTTCCAAGTTGTGAAAAAAAAGGTAATATAGTGCGACAAATTTGCAAATAAGTGAGCGGAAAGCTGATTAATGGTTTGAGAAGAAATATTTTCTTTTAAGGGCAGCAACTAAGATTATTACGAAACTTCATCTCTGTTTAAAGGGAGGGAATTCCATTATTGATTGATCAAAACTTAAAGAAGACGAACTTTTTTTTTTTATTATTTCCTTTTCATGTCACAAGATATAAACCATGCAGTTGTAAATCAGTTTGATCATTGCTTTTGACTCGGTTCCCTTTTTTCTTTCTGATAAATAAGACGAGTATTTAACAAATTGTTTCATCTTAACACAGATATTTTGGGTGGATCGAAATGAGCACCAACTGCTTAGAAACCAATGTAACATTTCCTGTGTACCTCCTGGACAAAGAACCGTTTGGAGTAACCATCTTACGAATTGGTTTCCAAATTGCCCTGGGCTTCTTGGGGGTTATTGGGAACATGACAGTCTGTGTGGTAATTATCCAAAAGCCCAAGGTACTTGGACCCGCAAGCCAGTACCTCTTCAGCCTGGCGATAGCAGATCTTTGTACACTGATCTTCAATTTGCCAATTGCCATTTTAAAGGAGGAAGATCCGTTCAGGTGGTCACTTGGCCGAGCCTTTTGCCTGTACATTATGCCGACTACAGAAACGTTCTTTGGCGCTGCTATTTTTTCTATCGGCTTGATTGGGTTCGAGAGGTACGTGAACATCGCTCGAAAAACAGCCCGCGCCCGGAGAAGGCTATCGTACAAGAAAAGGTGCTTTATTCTGATCGGTGTGTGGGTTTCTGCTTTTGCTTTTGGTTCCATTCCTCTGTATGCGTTTATGGAGTACGACTCGTGTCACAAAATGTGTTACCTCCCCTGGTCGATGACAGAATACATGACCTACATCATGACCCTCACGGTCCTTTGGTACGTATTTCCTCTGGCTGTCGTCGCCTTTAGTTACATAAAAATCGCGCAGCTGGTCTCCAAAAGGACCACTTCTCTACAGGGTATGCCTTATGGTTCCACGAGTATGGGAAACCTTCACTCCTCAAGTATCAAAACCATGCTGCGCCAAAAAAGGAAGACGTATCGCATCCTTACACCTTTAGTAATTTTGTTTGCGGTGTGCATGCTCCCACTGACTCTGCTCAGATTGGTTGCGATATTTTGGACAGAGATTGCTTTTCAGCCATATTACACTGTTCTGCTTACTCTGATGGTTGTATCAACGATATTGAACTCTGCTGCAGACCCAGTCATCTACTGCGTTGTAAACAGGGAGTTCCGCCAGCAAGTTAAAAGTATTTTTGGTGTTACTCGCCTTTTTCAAAAGCTTGGGAGATTTATTAGCATCAGAAGTTTATCTTTAAAGGGAAAAGGAAGTTTCACAGTTTCTGTCGAAAGCCAAACATCACAAACCACCCGTTTGTAGAAACTTAGGGAGAGGAAACTAGGACCTTTAAATAGTAGAGCGGCCTTAAGAACTATGGAAGCAAATGAGAAAAGCAAAGATAACCAACTTCGATTACACTTTTATTTTCACGTGCAAACGTGTAACGCATGATAAACATCGGTAATTAGTTGAAGGATACAGCGATAATTTTTAAGTTGGACTTGTAGCTAAAAGAGGTGTATCATGAAATAAAAATAAAATTATCCTAACTCCCGCCCACATTTTGTAATCTCGCTTTCAATGTATTGTGAACGTGCAGTTTGAATCACCTTCGTGTGTCGGCTGTTTGTCACGGCATAACCGCTACGAACCGAACATAACGACCCAACGTAAAGTCATCAGCGTTTCTAAATACAATATCTATTTATTGAGTTCCTCTTTTTTTTGAGACTTTGTCTGCGAATACGCATTAATGTTTGTGCACTGTGAGAGCAAAGAGTTTTCCTTTGTGACAGAGGCGTTACTTTCCAAATGTTTTCTCTAGACTGAAAGTCAAATTAATAGATAAAGCATTTGTAATTATGTGGTCTGTGATATCAAAAGAACAGCTTACAAAATGTGTTATGGATTAATTGGCCTGATAATTCTATTTTTCTGTGTCACCTTGTCTTTCACTTCTTAAGCCCAAGGGTAAATTAAGGAATTACCTACAGAATTCTCTGTTAACATTGATTTAAATGGTAATTATTAAACGAAGTTGTTCGCCAGTCATATATTTTGGTATCATTGCTTCTTGTATGCCCTAGAAGACAGAGATATTCAACGCTGTAATTTATTAGTCTTTAGACACGTTAGAACACAATAGGACACAGAGTAAATTAAACAACAACTGTTCCGATGCCGCGTGTGACAAATTTACACTCATCTTTCACATCTCCCTCTTCGACTTGGACTGGTTCTGTTAGATTTCGCTCTACCCCAGAGTCTTCGTGTTCAATAGCGTGATAATTTTGTTCTCGATCGTTTATAAGTGAAGTATTCTCTGATGCGCCTCTTTCCCCAACTCCGCCCCCCCCGGTTATCGTGGTCATGGCGACAGATACGGCATGGCAACCTGATGAACCCACGCCACCATAGAAAAAGGCACATGGCTAAAAGAGCTACTGCTGCAATTGGTAATAGGATGTCCATTTCCCATCTGGAAAACAAACAGATTTTATTTAGTTAATTAATAAACTGTTATTAATGACTAATAATGATATACAGTGTTATCTTTCTACCTCTTTCCTTCGATTCACAGAAATTGCTATTTCAAAACATTTGTTCCATCGAGCGCCGCTAAATAAGGCCCTTACATATAGTAATTTCAGTATTTTCGTTAAAAGAGAAGAGGTTGCAAACATGATTGTAACTTTAAGTAAGCTTTCCAACCAATTTAGAATCTCCACAGCTTTAGTTGACCCAGTTTTGTGAAGATAGTCCCCCCTACTGATCTCTTGATTGCCTCTAAGGTGTGTCAGAATTGAAATGTCTTTGCTTTGTTGAACGATAACGACAAACAAAAGAACAACACAGAAGCTTTAGGCTTGACCTGAGACAAACATCTTACCTAGGGGCGCGGCTGTGGGTCCTGGTTTAGTTGAGGTAGGAGCTGATTAATAAGGATAAACAGTGTTATCTTTCTACCTCTTTCCTTCGATTCATAGAAATTGCTATTTCAAAACATTTGTTCCATCGAGCGCAGCTAAATGAGGCCCTTACATATAATGATTTAAGTATTTTCGTTGAAAGAGAAGAGGTTGCAAACATGATTGTAACTTTAAGTAAGCTTTCCAACCAATTTAGAATCTCCACAGCTTTAGTTGACCCAGTTTTGCGAAGACAGTCCCCCCTACTGATCTCTTGATTGCCTCTAAGGTGTGTCAGAATTGAAATGTCTTTGCTTTGTTGAACGATAACGACAAACAAAAGAACAACACAGAAGCTTTAGGCTTGACCTGAGACAAACATCTTACCTAGGGGCGCGGCTGTGGGTCCTGGTTTAGTTGAGGTAGGAGCTAAACACCGATTAGGACATCCACAGGGAGTTTTGAGGATAAATATCTATCAAAGAAAGATATAGGACGAAACTATTGAAATTCAACGAACTCAACGTTATACATTTGTCCAAAGTAATTTTGATTAGTGATATGCATATCTTTTAGATCTCCAAAAAAATTTCTTTTTATTTGTCTAGTTTTTAATGTCTTTGTTTTTGTGTTGTGTCAGGGCTCCATTTAAACTAGCTCTCCTAAATTGGATGCTCCTGGATAAATAATTTGATTTTTTGATTAGAACAAGAAGGCTCGTGTTCTCCTTATTGATTACAAAACCCGATGAGCTTTTCTTCATTATAATGCATATATATATATATGTGTGTGTGTGTGTGTGTGTGTGTGTGTGTACCATATTTATTGAACTGGTGCTAACTGGTACAAGTTTAGCGGAAGGATCACTACTGCACTCGATTCTGACCGTGGAACCACCTCCTGTAAAAGGCCCTGATCTAGAAAACGGAACAAATAATACCTTGTCAGCACCGCATGCATTAAAGGCTTCTTTCTGTCCAAAACGTATAGACGTTTAGAGGTAAATATGGACGAAGCTGGTTTACAAACAAAGTTTACCCAAAGAAGAAACAAAGAAACAATTTGCTGTAAACAATTTGAATACACGGCAGGAAAAGAAAGGCTGCAAAACGTGTCCGCAAGGACATGCATATGCTTCTTCCCGCAAATCAATTCAACCTCATAGACGTGATTCTGAAGGTAACGTTTGGTCTACTTCGGAAAGTACTGTTAACTCACGTTACAGCATATTTCAGTGCAAACGGGTAATCATCAGTGGCTTCGCACTTAACGTCTTTCTGTTCACCAATGTCTTTGTATACATGTGGTGTTCCCGTTGTGTCGTATTGACACAGCTGCATATGAAGAAAAGAGAGTAGATTTTGATAACCTCTAAGTCCATTAGGTCAGGTTTTTGTCGTTGACATATCTACCTTAATCCGGTACATATGACTTTATGTTCTGTTCAAAAGTCTGATAGTGGTTACAATTGCTTCATCCCAATGTAATTTATGCGAAATTCGTATATAGTTTGTTTTAATCATAGTGATTAAAATGCAGATTCTAATTTCATGGAGAGATAAGAGACTTTTTGGGGAGTAGTCCTAATGTGGAACCGAACCAATGGCTACCATTCTGATGAGGAGACGCTGGAGGTGGATTGGCCATGTCACCCGCCAAGAAGCTTCCATTGCAAAAACTGCTATGCATTGGACGCCAGAAGGGAAACGCAAGCGGGTTCGCCCCAAGATCACATGGCGACGGACAGTTGAGAAGGAAATAAAGAAGATGGGGAAGACCTGGGAGGGCATCAAGTTCATAGCAAGGGATCGCCAGATGTGGAGGGAACACGTCGCTGCCCTACATGCCTGTTAGGCGTAGAGGACATGAGAGAGAGAGAGAGAGAGAGAGTCCCAATAGCGAAAGAAGTGGAATCTGTAATGTGATATCTAGGTCTCATAAAAATAACGAACGAACCCAACTTGATTTTCCGTAATCCTTGTTTTTGCTTACTAAACAGTCACGAGTCATCTCCCTTATAAGAATGAAAGGCTTCACAAATCCTTTAAGCTAAACTGAGGATATTTACGCGTAAATTAAGCGCAAGACGAAAATACTATACTTACTGCAACGTTCTTGCAACTTTCCTTATCCGGTTTCCTTGGAGAGATCAAATTGTCCGGCCCGCAAGGAAAGAAGGTATAGGTGTACTTATCTTGTGCATCGTTATAAATAATTCTTTCAAAAGAAAATACACACAAGATTAAATAATTAAGGCATATTGCTATAAAATTAATCGATTAAAATGGTGCATCAATGACCTCATGTTGTCCAAACCTATAAACCCTTCATCAGCCAAAACTCACACGAAGTAAAATATCAACAATCTATGGTTCCTTTTCAGGTAAGATCTTTTACTACTTTTAGATACATAGATTTTTTTGTTTACCAAGAAATACTCCATTCAGGTTAAGGTCTTTAACCCTTTAACTCCTAAACTAAATTCCCCACAATAAATAAAATGAGTGAACTGAATTTCTCCTTACAATTTCTAAACAACATCAAGCAGAAGAGTGACGAGAACAAAGAAAAATATCAATTAGGGGATTATAAGTTGATCCAATACGAAATTCTCCAAAATAACATCATAAGAATAATACCGCACACAGTGAGAAGAATTGCCAATGAGATCTTGGGAGTGAAAGGGTTAAAGGGTGACTCCACTGGTACAACTGGTTGATATTGAACCGATGACGAAGAGAAGATTTGAAAAATTGGCATCCATTGCAATTTCCTTTTGCTTTCTTACTCTATACTTTGTTGCAATATTATCATAACCCCTTATCTCCTAAATGTGAGAACCCTCCTCTTTTCAGCTGGCATGCATGCAGATTTACAAAGTTGTTCTTAGCTTTCTCTAAAATGGCCATTTACCTCCTTCGTGGCATGGTAAATAAACTGTAAGTTGGATGGCCTTTTCGAGCGCAAGTACAATTATCTGGCAATGCATCCCAAACATAACAGAAACATCCTTTCGACATCAAAAAAAAGAAAACGTGTACCACCACTGGTACAGATACCAAGATGGGTGGAGTCATCTTATCCTGAGAGCAAGAGGAAAGACAATAAAAAACCAAAACATTGTACACGGCAAGTGACTGACACGTTTTAAAATCCACAACATTACAATTAGTAAAAACACCAAAATTTGAGGTCATAGTAGTCAACCATAATATTAACCCTTTAATTCCCAGGGGTGATTAACACGTAACTTCTGGATGATCCATACATTACCCAGCCAAAAGATAATGAGAATACTCATACTTATTAGTAAGAGGTTGTTCATTTGTAGTAATTTTGTACAAACTGAACCCATCGATAAAATCGTAGAATATTGGAGAAAAGATTGATAAGTTAGTTGCTTTTTGGGAAAATGTATTAAAGTGAATGTGTTCCAGTCCCCAGGGCACAAATAAATGTAAGATAACAAAGCCGTTGAAATTTGTAGATAACAAAACTAATCAATGGAAAATTGTTAGGACTTGGCTATTCATCGATATTCTACCATGCCCCTGGAGCTTGCTAACAAACGGTTTTCGATAGCGTGAATCAATGGAACATAGTTCAACAGGATGTTTTATTTATCGCCTTTCGATCCGGATCGATTGCACAGCATCTATGGAAAATCCACAACAGAACTTTTGTAGTAGCTCCACTCTCTCTCTCACTCTGTCAATATGCCGAGCCCTAAAACCGGCTGAACTCCGCGGGCGCATTCA